CATGAGAATGCCAGCAAAAGGTTACTTAAAATTCACCTTCATCTTAATCGCATAAATAAGCGCACCTATCAGCGGTTTCATTACAAATGGAAAACACCAGACCTGCAAGAGAGAAATTAAAACAAATGTCAGTGTTCATTTATCCTTTTCAGCGGTTTCATTTTGAACGTATTTACCTATTTGTACCCTTCCAAAAGTCAATACAATAATTGCACACTAAATTAACTTACTCCTGTCTCGCAGTACTGGCATGTATGTGTTGTAAATTAGTCACAAATTATTGTATAAGTACGGAGCAGACGTTCGAACCATTGCTTTTCGTCTAGTATGCGAAATTAGTTTTGGAACTAGGTACAGGCCCACCCTGAATGCTGACAAAACTCCCCCGTTGGTGTCTTTCAATAAGGTTATTTAAAATGATCGCACGAACCGTTTTATTCTACCCTTCAACGCCGTTTTCAGCATGAACAGAACACTAATCTTTTCATACTATACGCGTATATCAAATAGCGAGGTGTCATTATCCTACTGCCTTCGATAACTGGTATAGGGAATGTAATAATTGATCGATGTAGAATTATTTTGGACATTTCATAGTGCTAAAAAATAAAGCATATTCCATTTGAAAAATGAACTTTTCAAAGTTTGAAGTTATTAAAGTTGACCATTAGTTTTTAAAGGCCCTGTAGAAGGGCGATCAAAATTTAAATCATTATCATGCAGCATCAAGTCAGTACTGTTGATTTTGTAAAACTTTTTAAAATTCAAGTCAACGGAGTCATAGGTGCAGGGCTCAAAAAGCAGTCAAATATCAAAAATTTTGAGAAATTTTGAATAACTTGAAAACTTTTGATGCTGGGTATGGGGAAATTGGTATCATACGACGTAGATTTTTATGTAGATTTCGAACGTGCGATAAAATACAGGGAAAGTAGTCCATTGCTTTGCTCTGCCGCAAATATTTTTTTTTCATAAACTTCGAGCGTAGCAAAATGTATTAGTTATAGTATTTCCAACAGCCTTTCAGTAAGTCTCATGGAATTCCTGCGTCCATCCATGGGGAGGTAATTTCGCAGCTATAATTTGTTTTTCATTACATGCCCTTTTTGTAACTGTTTACGCCTTGTAAGAAATTAATAAAGGCAGAATAAAATAAATAAGATAAATAAATATGGTCAAGAGTTCTCGTTTTATGTTTTTCTTCCAGAGACTTCGTTTTTTAGTTGCCGGGGGAGTGTTACAGTACACCCTGTATTTAGTATGAGAGCATATTAAAGGTGTTGTACCTTTGATAGTATAGGCGAATACTAATTATCGAAATCAGCTATCGGACCTACTGGTACCTTTACGACTGCACGCAGGCATACTGTTTTAATTTTGAAGATCGTTTATTAAATTTGCGTATTAACGCACTTTACGGGCTATAGTTCTTCCTCCAATGAAATTTATTATTTCACAGATTTGCCTCATGCTTGGCGTAGTTTTAACCAAATGTTGCTTTTAGAATGTCTTTGGTATTGGATGTAATAAGTTACGTTGCTGTGGTGTGTGTCTACTGCAAACTTCTACCCCTCAAAGAGATTCCAACGTTGCAGCTGAAACTCCAACGAAAAATAAATATTTTACCGGATTTTCGCGGAAAGCAGAAATTCACTATTAGCGTTGGTATATCTCAATATCAGCAGATTAGAAATATTGTTATATCTAATCACAGGTATTGCATTACGAAAATTATGGCTTAGTAATAATATGTTTTATTAGATATTTCCCAAGAAAAAGTTCGTGAATCTTATTTATGCGTTAACCGATAAAATATAGTGCAATGAAAGTAACTTTAAACAATAGCTATTTATTTATGTCAGGAAAATGGCACATTTCTAGCGAGAAAATATTGATTTACTGCGAGCATTCGATCACCTATTAAGGATTTCTGTTCAAGCAATCACTAATGTAAAAATGAACCCTGAAAATTGGGAAATTGCAACACTGCCAATCAAATTTGCAGCTTTGGGAATTCAATCTGCCGAAGAACTAGCTGGTCTTGCCCTTTTGCAGGCATCAGTTCATTCTGTGGTCGATCATACTTGGAGGAAAGAAAAGGCAACCTATACACCTATATTGGTTGAACATAAACTACAAAAGAGTTGGTAGTTTAGTAAAAAAAAACGTCATGATTGAAAATTTTCTTATAAAATGTGACCTGTAGGATCCATAATTTTAAACAGTTCCAAGATTGGGCTACTAGTTCAAAAGTTACAGCCCTTTGAATTTTCTTTCTAAATTGGTTTCTAGTCTATAACTTTTGATTGAGAAGTCTGATTGAAAAAGTACGAATTGTTTTGGATTTTACGCACCAAAATTAATAAGAAAAAGTGTTTTCCCGAGAAATTTTGGTGCAGTCGATTTTTGGTAAAAAAGGAAGGTTATACACTGCCTTTTTTTTCGGGCCTCAAAAAAAATTGTCTCAGATCGACCCGGAAAAAAAATTTCTTATAGAACGTGAGCTGTAGAATCCATAGTTTCAAACAGTTCCAAGATTGGGCTACTAGTTCAAAAGTTACAGCCCTTTGAATTTTCTTTCTAAATTGGTTTCTAGTCTATAACTTTTGATTGAGAACTCTGATCCAAAAAGTACGAATTGTTTTGGATTCTAAGCACCAAAATTAATAAGAAAAAGTGTTTTCCCGAGAAATTTTGGTGCAGTCGATTTTTGGTAAAAAAGGAAGGTTATACACTGCCTTTTTTTGAGGCCCGAAAAAAAAATTGTCTCAGATCGACCCGGAAAAAAAATTTTCTTATAGAATGTGGCCTGTAGAATCCATAATTTCAAACAGTTCCAAGATTGGGCTACTAGTTCAAAAGTTACAGCCCTTTGAATTTTCTTTCGAAATTGGTTTCTAGTCTATAACTTTTGATTGAGAAGTCTGATCGAAAAAGTACGAATTGATTTGGATTCTACGCACCAAATTAATAAGAAAAAGTGTTTTCCCGAGAAATTTTGGTGTAGTCGATTTTTGGTAAAAAAGGAAGGTTATACACTGCCTTTTTTTGAGCCCCGAAAAAAAATTGTCTCAGATCGACCCGGAAAAAAAATTTTCTTATAGAATGTGGCCTGTAGAATCCATAATTTCAAACAGTTCCAAGATTGGGCTACTAGTTCAAAAGTTACAGCCCTTTGAATTTTCTTTCGAAATTGGTTTCTAGTCTATAACTTTTGATTGAGAAGTCTGATCGAAAAAGTACGAATTGTTTTGGATTCTACGCACCAAAATTAATAAGAAAAAGTGTTTTCCCGAGAAATTTTGGTGTAGTCGATTTTTTGTAAAAAAGGAAGGTTATACACTGCCTTTTTTTTCGGGCCTCAAAAAAAATTGTCTCAGATCGACCCGGAAAAAAAATTTCTTATAGAACGTGAGCTGTAGAATCCATAATTTCAAACAGTTCCAAGATTGGGCTACTAGTTCAAAAGTTACAGCCCTTTGAATTTTCTTTCGAAATTGGTTTCTAGTCTATAACTTTTGATTGAGAACTCTGATCGAAAAAGTACGAATTGAGAATTCTACGCACCAAAATTAATAAGAAAAAGTGTTTTCCCGAGAAATTTTGGTGCAGTCGATTTTTGGTAAAACAGGAAGGTTATACACATTTGTTAGGTATGCGATTGCGAAGTGAGGCGGCGCATCCAACGAAATCGAGAGTATGTCCCATCCAAGAAAACGTGATTTCCCAAAAGCGGTTCGAAATTCACGGAGTCTGCTAGTTTATTATATTTTTATTGTTTTAGGATCTTCTACAGGCTTTCAATTCACAGGTCTACTATATGTATATCCCTTTCATTGAGTCACCTCACTCGCAACCTACTCAGTCCTCCAATTTTTCAAATTTTACACCCAAAGTCGTTTTTTGGCTTATAACTTTAGTCTAGCTATAGGGAATGCAATACCGAGATTGCAATATCCCCACAACGACTTTGCTGAGTGAATCTTGTAAGTATCGGGATCCTGCGGGATTTTAGGATTGGAAAAACTAACCACCAATGAGTCGCAACGCTAAAATGAAGAGGGTGTACACGTTAAACTATGCGTGTATTTCACAGTTTTTTCTTTCATTTCTCATAGGCATCCCGGTGCTAAATTTTCTCTCAACAATACTTAGTGTTCACACCATCATTTTCGAGAAAAGACTATGGAATTTAGAACTGCGATCGTGTGGAAAGGAAGATGCCCTATCTCAAAAAAATAATCTTGGGCGTCTTTTTGTGGGAGTCATTGCCTATATAGTAATTGATTACCTTTTCCCAAAAGTGTTACACCATGCAAATACTATGTATGCTTAGGAATGATGTTTCATAACTCCTGTATGGATCAAACAGATATTGAAAGAAGAATTATGGGCACAAAAGAAATTAGTAGAAGGTAGTACGAAAACAGTCTTCTGAAAAATATCGCTCCCTTTAAGAATATGGAAATAGACCGCTGCAATGGTACAGGTAGTACCATTTGGTTTTCAATGCTCCTCAGCTTTTGAGTAACTAAACGCGACTCAATATCTAAGTTGCGTCTAGATTTTTGAGGATTCGTGTTGCTTTTTGGTACAAGGGTAGTTATCCTTATTGATTAAAAAGACAAATGCTATGTACAATGTTCACCTAAAGGGTGTATTTTGAGAAGGGAGTGTTGTGTTGTTATATTTTATTAATTGTAAGTAGGTAGTAGGCGTAGGTCAAAACTAATCCATACTTTCAATGACGCTTTCAGTAAAAGAAATTAATCGCGCTTTAAGGGTTGTTTTGGACATAACGAGGTCACCTGTTGGGGTTATCGTAATTAAGGAATACTGCTTTGTCTTTAATCCCTGTTGCTAAGTAATATATACGATACAAATTTGGTTTTTGTATCTGTCTCGAAATTCGTGTCTTTACATTTGTGCGTCACGAATGCGAGTGTGGGTGTACTTACATTTTCAATAATAAAATCCTAAGGGTGTGTTGTTTATTTCAGGAGTAAATCGTCAGAAACGCCGGGCGCCGCTTTGGAAGACCCGGGTTCATCCACAGAGGATTGCGATCGGATCGAAGACCTCGAGGTTCGCCTACCAGAGCGAATTGAAGGTTTACCTACTTATTTATTTAGAATCATTTGACCGATCTATAATTATTAATAATTACAGATTGTAGAGACGAAAATGTACGAACCAGTATCGGACGGTTGCGTCACAATCATCAATTCAAAGTACGGAAACAAAATAACGTACGATCAGAGCGACGCCGAAGAAGACTGCACTAACTCTTCACATGAAGATTGCGGCAAAAGTGACAGTCAGCAACCACCATCGGAAAAGTCTCCGCGACGCAATAGATTACCATCTACTCTCGATTGCATTGTACTCAACCGTAGAAATTGTGACAAAATGCGAACCGGAAGTGGCGATAATTACATCGATGTTGACCATATAACATTAGAATCGGAACGAAATTATAAAAATCGGTTTCATTCCATTGGAGTGCAAACTTCGCAATTACTTCCTTATAGACTGCGCTTGTTACCAAAATTTTCGGCAGATATTAAGTGCGATCCTTCGGGTAGCTGTTCGTTTAAAAGTAAATTGTGCTGCTGGGGAAAAACATTAAGCCAGTGGATTTTTTCGCAAATCGGATTAACGCTTATTTTACTTAATTGGGCCCTTTTAGGGGCTGCCGCTTTTTATCACACTGAAGGTAAGAGCTTTCTCGTTGTAGATAAAAGTGTTGCACAGTTTTTTTGTTTCGAATTCCAAGCACCACTTTATTATCTTTCTGTAATGAAAATGCGCACCCCCGTAATTTTGAAATCGCCGGCTTTTAAGACTAATTAGTGCTAATTATTGTAACTGTTATATAAGGGCATGACGTACCTATTGTGTTTATATAGCAAAAATATATAAACAATGGGTAATGGGTGAAAACGGCGCGCATGTCGGGGTGGTATCTATAAATAATTAAAGCACATGTCCTACAAACGATGAAGGAAATGTATGTCAGTCGATTATATTTCAGTCATGGTCAAAACGTTTTCCTTGCTTTTGGTTACCAATAACTCAAACAAACTAATTCGATTTTGGTCGAAAGCACGAAATGATCTTTCCCACTTCTTTATTCAAAAATCCTAAGCATACACTACGAACAATGCACTGGCGATTCTCTAATGTGCGAATCTGAAGTGATTTGAGTTATTTGCCTACAGATTTGTATAATTTGTACACCCTGTGTGTGACCTTCACGCATTGTTACTTTGGGTAATTTTTACCTCGGAAATCCAAACCAAGGACCAGAAAAGCTGTTTATGTGCGGTTCTATCGCGAACAAGTGTATTGGGTCTTGTTAAACAAACATATACTTATGAGAATACTTAATCTTACAATAAAATTAAAGCTATTTAATGCAAATTTGTTAATCACTAACACACCATGAGCATGAGAATAACATACAACAATACAAGTATACGAAAACAATAATAGGCAGGAAATATATACCTATTCGGGTTATTAAAAATATATTTTATTCATAGTCTCGTTTGCCTCATTTCCATATTTATTGTAGTATCAGAATTAACTAAACGATTTAGGTAAGTGAGCCTATATTTATTCAACGCACCGTGTACGTCCATCATAGCGAAAGCTAATGAAGCTTTTTGCGCTTTGAAAATTAGGCGCTTCACTATAATATTTAAATACTGTCAGGTGACCCCAACGCTGTCTTTCAAGTACAGCTTCCATTAATCCACAATGATGTTTCTATTGTCTACCTAAATAGTTCCAGTTCATGAAAGTAATTCGAATTTTGCTTTGTTTTATAATTCGCGAAAAGATGGGTACCTACCCTTTTACCATACAGTTAGGTAAGTTTTCTTACAAAAAGTGAACACAAATCGGTCGACCTAAAGTTATACTTAAACTGAAATTAAAGAATTGAACAATTCTGCTGACGTAGTCCAATTCCGGTCGTTTTGGATTATGCAGAACAAAATATACCTATAAGGAAACTGAAATTTGTCGATTTTCGGTAAAATAGCACGACCACCCTATAAATACTTACACTTGCGTATATTTTCTGTCAAAAAAATTATCAACCGAGAAACTTTTTCTTGTAGATTTTGTCCTGTAGAATCCAAAACATCAAGAATTTTCACAATTGGACGACTACATCAAAAGTTATGGACAATAACCCGTTTTAAACAAAATACGAAAATGGTGTATACTTGACGTAGTAGTCCAATCATCAAAATTCTGATTGTTTTAGATTTTACAGGCCAAAATCTATACGAAATAGTTATTTGTAGATCTAGTTTTGAAAGTGATACTTTTTTCATGAATTTTCAGTTTGATTAATGAGGGCGAAGCCCGAGTTAATCAAGCAAATTATGGTGAGATTGGGTTCTGTAATACCACAGACATAGTATATGTTGTCTGTGGTAATACCTAACCATAATCATAGAATCTAAGGCTGTTCATTTTGTATCTTTTTATATTTTTTGAGTTTATATTTCGTAAGGATTGTACCTACCTATAATTGCAAGAAATAAATGTTAAAATAAAAGTTTGTGGCATTTACCTATATGGCTAAACGTTCCAGAAAAATTCAATTTCACTATTTATCACTGCTATCTCTTCATTACCAATACAATAAGGCACAACATTTGGTTATTTAAAGTTTAAACCAAGATTTTACCTATATCATATTTTTCAAAATTTTGAAACTCGTTTTGAAATTAGATGTTTCTACCATCAGCCATTTTTATTGATTGGTATCGGCTGCCTTAACTACCATGGTTACAATAAACAAAACAAAATCTCAACGAATCCATGGCCTACTATTTAAAAACAGTAAAAAATAAGGTTTTTATTGATTTTATTAACGTTAAGATATACAGGACGACATGCCGCGTATTTGATATACCTGACCTAGAGCAAAACCCATTATTGAACATGAGGCTAATATTGTTAATGTCCTTGGATATTTCACGGCGTACTCCACTATTTCGTTGAGAGACGCTGAAACTGATTTGGGTTTAAATATTAGTTGCCTCCATAAAATCCTAAAAAACTACCACTATCGCCCACTTTTCTTCTATAATGTACGAAAGCGTAGAACGGACAAGGTAGTTAAAATTATGTAATCCCGAGATATAAGTCGGGATTATACTTGATCCCGAGATATAAGTGAGGATTATACTTAATCTCGAGATATCAGTGAGGATTATACTTGATCCCGAGATATAAGTGAGGATTATACTTAATCCCGAGATATAAGTCGGGATTATACTTAATCCCGAGATATAAGTCGGGATTATACGTAATCCCGAGATATAAGTCGGGATTATACGTAATCTCGAGACGTAAGTGAGGATTATACTCAATCCCGAGATATAAGTGAGGACTATAGGTACTTCAAAAGAACTGAAATTTCACGTAGAATTCAAAAATGCGATCAACATAATAAGGGCTGACATTTAAAATAACCATGTTACTACGGAAGTGGCACCATTTTGAAAATGTTTTACATCGATTCAGCCTTCTGAGTAACTCTTACGTACAAATTTTCGAAAACCTATCTATTATTCACTTTCACAAAAACGTTAAATAAAGCTCTCAGAAAAACACTGATGTATTCACTGAAGAAAATCAACCAAGAAACAGCATTTCTAATACATTTTGCCTGTTTGCCCTGTAAACTTCAAACCATCAAGAAATTTCACGATGGCAGGACTGCATCAAAAGTTATGGGCAAAAAAACCGTTTTAAACAAAAAAAAAAAGGTAATGGGGTACGTATCTCTTTTGAGGTAGTGGCCAAATGTGAAAATTGTGGTTGTTTTAGATTGATTTTCCAGCCCAAAATCTATAAGAAAAGTTCCTTTTCCGGTGATTCTAATTTGTGTCGATTTTTGGTAAAATAGCAAGACTTAACAGATTTATCTCCAAAGAAAAAGAAAAGGGGATAAGTTTTGATACTACCTAGTCTAATTCTTGAAATTCTGCTCGTTTTGGATTCTATACGTCAAAACCTTGTCTTGTGACTCTATAGGTACCTACTTACCTATCCTCCTCATTAAACACGGTTTCGGTAGCGAAAGGAAATCTAGACTATATATGAGTCAATCACAATATGTCATTCGTTAGCACGAGTGATTTGCAAAAAAAAACATGCCGATTTGCATCGTACAAAATATATCATGCTATTGAATTCAACGATAAGTAATCCAATTCCAATAATTAATAGCATACAAGTCAGTCAATTATAATTGAATTATCGATTTATTTAGGATGCCGCAATTCAATACGCCAGGAAATGTCAATAGAACTTCTTTGTAGTTGTGGGAAAAATGCTGCTCAACGTACAATGAAGATTAATTTATTAGACGGATAAGAGTTTTTTATGCCAAAGGTTAATGAATAATTAAAGAAGTGTAATAAATGACTTCATTGAGAATTGATAACATCGTTTTTGTACTTCTTTATTCAATGAGAAGAGCGTCACTTATCACACTTAAAATATGAAACATATTGCATACTTTCATCATTCAGTCGTTTGTATCATGACCATTACACGTCTCTAGTTTGCGAACCAATTTCTTTATCTATTCTCTCACATGTTCACTGTACATTAAAGAGAAAGAGTTGTTAGCAATTTGAAAAAAGTTAGGACAGGGTTCCTTGTGATAGATGGGCCAAGGCAATTAAGCTCTAAATGAAAAGTAGGTACTTTACGTGTAGTGACGATTACGGACATTATTAATGAACCTATACTGTGAAACTGCATCATCTGCCTATAGACATATGATGGTAGGCATACGTCTATGCACCTGCGACACTGCTATACTAACATAATTATGATAACTGCGAAAGATCAGGAATTCGAGGATCAAAAGTTATGGCCCTTTGATTTTTTGCCTATAACTTTTGATTTAGATGTCCAATCGTTAAAATACGACACGTTTTGGAATCTACGAAGCTAAATTAATAGGAAAGTGTTTCTCCGAACATTTTTGGGATAGTCTATTTTCGGTGAAAATGCAAAGGCTATACACTTGCCTATATTTTAAGTCGGAAAAAACATTTTCTTATAGATTTTGGTCTGTAGAATCCACAATTACCAACAGTTTGAAGATTGGCCCACTAGATCAAAAGTTACGACCCTTTGTTTCATATTTTAGCCGGTCATTGTATGACAGCTCACGCTCACCTTACACCAAGCGGTGGGTCGTCGATCAGTCCCCTTTTGGCCCACCCTAAATAGTGTGCAGTGCATGCATACAAAGTAGATAGGTACGTACTACAACTACAGGTCCGTAGCCAGGGGGTGGTTGAGCCCCACCTAGAACGTGCGGTCTTCCCCCCACTGGAAATTACGGTTGATGATTCCTTTACAAAAATTACATGGGAAGTTTTTATGAAAAACTTCTTAACCCGCCCTAGAAAAATACCCACCACTCCTGCTATTTCATTCTGGCTACAGCTAGGCTTGTACAACTATATCTACCTAATGTTAAATCCATTGCACAAAGAATAAGAGAAAATATGTGGTATATGAAGGCTCTCTTGCGCCTTTTCAGAGATTTCTAGTTCCAAATCTTTCTATAGTTAACTGCTAGGTCTAGAAATAGCAAAAGAGCTGAACGCTCTCAACAGTCCTATAGGCTCCCGGAGCATTATGGACGAGTCTCTCTCCAGAGCGTACAAAAGGTTTTCTAGTTTTATACATGGCCAAAAAATCCCTGCAAAAGGTAACGCAACGAAATCGCGGTTCATGTGCGCCAATAATCAGTCACGCATGCTTACATTTACAGGTCCTAGGGAAGAACAGCAAACAGAAGACTTACAATCCGTCCAAAAGGAACTCTCAATCGATCTGGCGACAGAACTTCGCCAAGTTTCTCAACACACCGAAGTGTGGCCTCAAACAGTGCAAAAATTTATGGCGCGTTATGAAGGTCTGCTCCTAAATGCGGTTAGTTCCGGCTTCGGCGAGGGGGGTGCCGGTTTTATATGGACGTACCCAGGTTGCATTTTATTCGCCGTGTCCCTGTTAACCACATTGGGTAAAATCGTCGAGCGTAATGTGACAATATATCATTTAATATTTCAGGTTTTGGAGCCCCAGTACCTCGTACGCCGTTGGGACGTGGTGCAGCGGTTCTATTTGCCGCGATTGGAATTCCTCTACACTTCCTCCTCATTTTGAACATGGGAAATCTAGCGGCTGGAAAATTACAAGTTCTTGTCAAACATTACAGCGAATCAAACGAATCGTGTAAATGGCTGAATGGGTTAATAAAATGGTTTCCTTTAGTATCGATACTATTTTATTATACATTAGGTGCAATATTATTTGGATTTGCTAGGCAAAGAAGTGTTGTAGATAGTTTGTTGTTCCCATTAGATTTTACACCTGCTGGTGGCGTCGCGAAAACGTCAGGTCTAGTAAGGGTATTTTATGCTTTGTATTTAGAAGTTGCAGTTGTACTAGCCGCCACAATCGTTTCAATCATTCAAACATCTGCCACTAGAGGCGTTGTAGACTTAGGATTAAAATTAGGATTGTTGACAAATACTTAAAATGTGCCTTAGGTTTTGAAACATAATAGCGCACAACCGTGTATATTTTTAACATCATTTTACATATCGAAAATTTTTAATGTGACAAAACAGTGTACTACTAGTCATTCTTAATTTTGTTTACGTTCCGCTTCTTTTTCTTTAGGATAAGTATCATCTTCGTTAACCTCAGGTTTCACGTGAACTTGCGCCATTTTAACGTTCTCACCAACATTTGGATCTGTTGTCATTTTTCGATCTAAATACAAAAATGTTATCCCTACAATACGAGCACAATGTGATCTTACCTGATAATGCTAGACGTATCGCTTCTAAAGTATCCTGATCTTCAGCAATAGATTGTTTGTTGCCTGTAAAAGATTTTAGAATATTTATAAACAACTTTGTTAACTATTTATTTTTATTGTATTGTTGATAAATAATAAACACACTTTAAGAAAATTGTCTACTTCTTAACCAAATATTGCCGTTTTTATTCTGGATAATATACTTCTATTTTCCTTTTCTTTTTCTTCTTTGGTCACATCTGCCTCTTTATTTAAAGGTATTTCGTCACCTTTACCTGCTAAAGAAAAAGTGCGTTTAGAACAAATATACACAACATGCGTAACAGTAAACAATTGCAGAATATTTAGTAAGTATAATGTTCAACGCACTTGTTCAGAAGCAGAACAATTAATACTGACAGTATGTAAATCGTAAATGGTAGACAATGTAATCAAACACTACACCTACTAACATTTGCACCACTTAATCACAATGTTCATAATCAGTTCCATTAGGTGGGAAATATAGGGGCTTGAAAACAAGTGAATTCTGTGTTCTTCATTTCACCATCAAATTTAATAAATTACTGTTTTTTGCTTTCCTCCTTTTCTAAAAAACAACCAAATAAATTAGTTATTACTTAAAACTGCTTAATCTCAGAAATGCTAAACAAAATGGTCGCTTCACCAAATGACCCAGACAATAACGATTCATAAATCAATTGCAATTTTTATTAACTTAAAACTCATAGACTTGGCAACTGAGATTAAAATTTTGACACCTTGACACAATACCTGCCAAAGAAGTTCATATCTAAACAAATCCAAGGGTAAATGTAACGGGCTTGTGCCCATCTTCCTTGATGATTGCGTATGTGTTTCGGAATAATATTTTTGTCATTGTCAATCAATTAATTCTGTATTTATTAGAATCGATTGCTTGACCCAGATAGAATTCTCATGTTCAGATTTTTCTATTTGGGCTCAACATTTATCTCTGGTGTTAAACAAAACTTTGTAATAGAATTCTTTGGAATTTTAGGAAATAGATCGTAGCTACTGAGTAGCCTAAATTAAACAAAATTCAATAAGTTTAGGGATTGTTGAAGTGGGCCCATAAAAGAGAAGCACGATTAGAAGTGAAAATCATCCCTTCTTGCTATCTTCATAAACTAGGTAGACTTCTAGTAGAACTATAAATACAAGCAACCCTCACACTCAATTCAAATAAATGAAAGAAAAAGCATATTTACATTTACTTCTTACCGTCGTTCTTATATGTCATTCCATATATCTGACCAGGAGTATCCTGTTCCAATTCTGCATACGCGGTTACTAACGCCTTTTGGTTACTACTCAAATTTTTGGGAACAATAATTTTGAAATTCACATAATGGTCTCCATAACCGTAACCGTTTGGTTTCTTCATTCCTTTGCTACTTAGTCTAATTCTGGTATGTGAAGAAGTTCCTGGCATTACCTACAGACCAAAATGACAAATTAGCAATTTACGTAGGTCGGTGTCACCAACTTGTATAGTGTGATCTTCGTATAAGCCCTGTATCCGTATTGTACCGCCTAACAGCGCCTGGGATACCGATATATCAGCTTCAGTGTGCACATCGTGGCCGTCTCGCTTAAAATACTTAGATTTTTCCACTTTGAAAGTTACAAACAGTTCATCCTTCCCAACAGTCATCCTAATCGTTTGCCCGTCATCGATCCCTTAAATGGATTTGTAAAATGTGACGGCCAAAGTCAAACCAGTTACCTGCCGGAACAGGAACAGTAACCGTCTTCCTCTGGACTGTCGACCCTTTGCCCTCACACTCGGTGCACTTAAACTTGATGTGCATTCGAGTACCTTGACAATATCGACATGTAGAGCTCATAATAAAGGGCCCTCTCGAAATGGATTCAAACCCAGTTCCATTACAGTATGTACAACGAACAGCTTTAGTACCAGGTTCACACCGTGACCCGTTACACTTGTTGCACGTGTCCACAACATTAATATTGATATCCTTCGTCGTGCCTCGTGCAGCTTGCGTAAAGGTCAAACGAATCACAGCCTGCAAAGTACCCCCTTTACATCTAACTCCACTCACAATCACCCCTCACCTCTTTTGCACCGCCAAATCCAAAACTGGACTCAGCAAAATCATCAAACGAACCACGCTGGAAACCGGACTCTCCAAAGATTTTACGGAACAACTCCTCCGGATCGATCGAAGATTGATAATTCCACTGTTGACTAAAACCTTGAGCGTTTCGTCCCGCACCTCCCATATTACCCATCTGCTCGGCAGTTGAGCCCCACGTATCATATTGTTTTCGTTTAGTGTCATCGCCCAATATCTATCAACAATCTAAGTACACTTGGCAAAACACATTAGGTACAGTACCTCGTAAGCTTCGGAAACGGCTTGAAACTTCTTTGCAGCACCCGGATCCTTGTTCACATCTGGATGGAACTGCTTGGCGAGTTTGTAGTAAGCCTTTTTTATTTCGGCCGTCGAAGCGTTTCGACTAACCCCCAAGGTTTGGTAATAATCGTCTTTGTTGAGCAGGTTCGTCGTATGAAAGTTATTATACTTTGTTACTTGCAAGTCTACAAAATGAGCTATAAAGTGGTCAGTAAAAAAGACTTGCGAACTTACGATTATTGGAAGTGTTCCAGAATCCTAACCTAAAACTAGTATTTCTATGTGACTTTATGCAGTGATGGAATAACCTTTGGGAAATTGTTGTGTTAGGCAAGTACGTAACTAGTAAATTTACGTTGCGAGGATTAAAAGTGGAGATTAGACATCTTGCTGTTGCCATTGCTGTTGTAATTTTTTATTGCCAAGTGTACTTAACATAACATTACGGCAATTAAAAGAGAACCTTGCTCTTGTTTAGTGTATTTTATTTGACATGGGACATTTTGTGTAGGTTGGTGTTATTGCTTTTCAGGTATACCACTACACCAACTTAGTGACTTTAAGACCAATGAGTTCAAATAGTACGATAAAAGCTTGAGCTCAATGCATAATGCAACAATACATTTCCACAAAGTCTACAGCAACAATACGAGAAACATTGATCAGCTCAAAAAGAATATCTGTAGTGAAATGGCAGTGAATACACCAGCATTAGTGAGAAAAGTCGTCACTCATCTTCGCTCACGAGGAGTGCCGTCGTAGAGAGGGTAGGGTTAAATAATATTTTTAAAAAAACAAACTTGATTTACTCCCTATAAATTCATTTTTAAATTTTTTCCAAATATCAACGTTCTATTGCGCCACCCTGTACAATAACATTTAAATTTTTTTTTAGCAACTTTAATGCCCGCAAGTTGGCGACAATGTGGTGTTCTTTATTCATTGGTAGGTTGGAAATGCGGAATCTGCTCATTTTATGTCAGATGTCAAAGTGTCTTTTCAAATTTTCTTATCAAAAAGATACTCTTTGAAAAACTAGGTGCATTTTCTAAGGAATTTTCTATTTCACCTCCCTTTAAAATCCTCTAACGAAAACAAACCGTAACACGCAATATGGCGTAAGTAACTACACTTCTTCCATATGTTTCTTAAAATTCTCCTACTTTCAGGTCTAAAGTAACATTCAAAATTACTCTTACATCGGATCCTAAGCTCCCTTATAAAGTGTAAGTATTTGCTAGCAAATCTAAATTGAATTGGTTTAGTTTCACTTGCCCTTGCTTCCATAAATCGAGTACCGAACAATCACCTTATTTATGCTTGTATAATTCTACCTTTTGTTAGCAGATGCGCCCAACTGTAACGATCGAGAAATGACGACTTACGAAAGTATATCGACAGACATAACAAATCTTTTCGCCTCATTCGATAAATACGTTAATATGTACGAGACGAACACATGGTTAAATAGTGTGAGCATTGAAGAGTTAAAAAATGGCTTTAAGCTAGGAAAATTGATTGAAGATAGTGTGCGTAATCTTCAATTGAAGCAGTGTACGAACACATTTTTCTCAGTGTTAAACGCATGGTGGAAACAGAAATCACGAACTAAAGTTTACAGTGTAGATTTCTTTTTAAAAGCCTGTGATAATCTGTTGACGAAATTTTTTCAAAAAAACATTCCGATACAAACTTTAGATAACGCGATCCGTATGTACACGTCCTTGTTTCCACGAGAACGGTTTGAAAAGGTGATCAGTAGATTAATACTCATGTCAGCCTCCCACACCCAAATTATCGATTACACAATCGCCAACAAAGATAATATTGACATTCAATTCCTTCAGTGTCGTCTTCTCTTAACGAATTGGCTGCAGGAGTGCGAATGTGGACGAATAGAGAATGTTAAAGGAGTTATTTCGAATATGTTTTTAAGCTATAAATTACAATCGACCCTGCCGTTACTCGTAACAATTTTAACTGTAAATATTGAAAATGAAGCGCCCGTTACAAATATCATTTTAGAAAACTTGTACATGAAAATGGAAGATCGTAGTGTATTAAGCAAACAGTTTTGGTTAAGCCTGTTTCGGTACGTTGATAGACAAAGGTTATCAAAAGTTTGTCTTAGGTACAACGAATTTTTAATTAAATTATTCGATTTTATTATATACATCGGCTGTATGATGAATTATATACCGCATAATTCCGAAATGAAGTGGATGGGTGATCCCGAAACGTCAATATGTCCTAATTTAATGTATGAAGATTTAGTGAAAGTTGTAAAGTTTTTATATCGCGATCATTTAGATTTAGGAAGATATATTGATTTACGTATAGCGGAAGCGAAAAAGGGGCTGAATGTGAAACTTTGGAATCAACTCATGTCTGATATTGTTGTGTGAGTAAATGATTTTCGTCTCCAGGCTGAGCGTACCCGAAGCGACACCCTTCACTGCAGTATTAAAATTTGCAGCCGAAGAGTTTAGAGTACCGCCTGCCACATCTGCAATTATCACGGATGATGGCGTAGGAATTAATCCACAGCAGACAGCAGGTGAGTTTTGATTATTGCAATTTCATCTGTGAATTAGGTTTTTTTATTTCAGGAAACGTTTTTTTGAAGCATGGTTCAGAATTACGAATAATACCCCGGGATCGTGTTGGCAGTCAAAATTAATAACTTTTTTGTAATGTATTACATTTTATATTTTATTAAATATGTTATGTATTTAATTATTTTATATTTACAAGCTCAAAATAAAAATCCATTCTTCTACCTTAATTTTTAATTAAAGATTACCAGCTTGTAGCAGTTTTTTTTTAGCTGTTTTCCTGGATAAAATTCTATCCTGGGGATTTTCTGAAATTAATCACTACTAAGTAAAACTATATGATGCATTCCCACTCCACAGGGAGGATAAATTGGTTGCCACACTTATCTTCCTGCATTTGTGGGGACCAGCAGTCAATTTTTGATGTCAAGTAAGAAAGTAGAGGAGTGTGGGTCAGTCTTTTTGTAAATTTTTACGAGAAGTTTTTCTCACACCATATTTTTCTTACATTTTCTATAATGGGAGAGATAAAAGTAACTTAAGAATCATGTGGGTAGCAGGAACTGGAATTTCATGTAGAGTCCAAAATTGCAATAAACAATAGGGGTTACCATTAAAAATAGGTACTTCCTGTATTTCCGGATGTGGCGCCATTTTGAATTATTTAAGATGTGGTATCCTCTGTAAAGTGGGTTACTAAAACATTGTAGTCCTTGTAACAATAAAATTTTGCTATTTTTATCACTCTTGAGGTTCTTATACTTTTAATCTTTGACCCCTATAGGCATGCTTAGGCTAAATTAATGTCAAATTCCTAATTGCTTATCTGATAAGTCACTGAAACAAAGAAAAGAAATTCTAAGTCTGTGTAATCAGCTACAAATATGTAATATTATGGCAATACATAGCAATTATGAGTATACAATAAAATATTAAACCTACATTGTCACACATCAGCGATAGTTTTACACTTACATTTTACTCATACTATAACCAAAAAAATAAACAATACATACCCACAGATGTAATACAAATATGTTGAAAGCTAAGTGTATGTTCCATTACCATCGCATTGGCAAGCTTTAATAATATAACTTTGTTGTATACATGAAATATAAAAATTAGCAGTTTTACGAAAATGAGCAAGACTTCACTTGAGATCAACGTTTACAATAGTTTGTGACTTACATTTTTAATTACAAATGCCTACAAAAATATCTAAAATGTCATGAAAATTACACAAAAATTCCAATAAAAACTGTCACAATCACAGATGAAAATAACTTATTCTTGAGCAAGTTACACTTCTCCAAGTCAAAAATGAGTAGATATTAAATTACAGGAAGCAATTTCTTTTACCTCTATGGTTCCTTAAAACTGATGATGCTGTCGGGACAGTCTTTTTTGTGAAGCAAATTTTTTATCACAGAAGTAGGGGAATAGACATAGATTAATGACAAAGAACATTATTCTAGCTAGAGGAAGCAGGCAGTTTTATTTGTTCTTAGTTCACTAATATAATTTTACCATTTAAATTATATCTAAAGATTGGTTGCAACACAATAAATATTGACTCAAGAATCTTTGACTAGCATTTCAATTGGGGAAATTGTTAAATAAAACGCAGACGTTTTTTCTGGAAATCTAGTTTTTATTCGTATTTTCTGTGGTGATCTATTTCAGGTAATAACCCATCATCATGCCTAGCTGTAATTTGCGTAATATGTTACATTGAAGTTACATTTATTAATACGGTATACCCTCAAGCGTCACATTCACGGCGTACCGTTATAAATGTATTATTATACAAATCACAGCTTGGTCTGATGATGGCTCTTAACACGAAATCAATCGCCTTAGAAAACACAATTAAAAACTAGTTCGCCAGGAAAAACGTCAGCGTTTTATTTAACAAGTCCAATAACTGCGACTAAGGTAGTATGGAACAATTCATAAGTCGTGCACATTTTAGAAAAAATGATTTCTACTAATAATAATGTTCTTCATCAATCTATTCATGCTCATTTTGGAGTAAGCAGGAAAGCCGAATGATAAGCATTTATACTGTGCTTTCAACTGAAAGTAATGACCAGTACTGATCACATCATCTCCAAAAAAACAGAAAAGTAATAAATAAATGTTGTACATAAAAAAGAATATCAATATAAATACAATATGCAATAAATATAAAACCTACATGTAACGAACACAGCAAATATCATGTACAAACAATATTTAACTAAAGCACTTTATCAAAGGACTAGATGCAAATGATATTATGCTTAATTGAAAATGGCCCTTTACACCTCAATTATGAGTAATTAAAAACACAAAAACTTGGAATTTTGTTGCCAATTTAAAAATTATTCTAAGGCCTGATTAGTTCACTCATCCCACTCTTTCTCGTCCACTCCTTCCATATTGTCCTGTTCCAATGTCATATTAACTTCAAGACGGCTACTTACGGACTTCTGAATCTAAACAGAGAAAATTTTGATCTACTGTGTTGAAATGTAAACTAAAACAGTTGGAGAGTACAGCCACGTCAAATAATTAACTAATTAACGACACAATGGAATAGTCACTCAAGCTTACAATAGAAATCAAAATATATTCATAATTAAGTTTTCACAATCACCACTAGTTTAGACGAATCCCTCCTCCGACAATCCACTCGAGGGATATGGAATTCTAACCGATCATGATAATGAGTCGAGGGGGAGTATGGTTTGTAGAAACTAATTCCTTTCATCGAGACCTTTCATTGGAGTACCATGAAGAAAAAAGGGGGTAGCCCCTCTTATGACAGCAAAATTTGAAGGCCGTCTGGCATACCTTCAAGGTATAGGCTATCTATTGCAAAAAATTCCAGACCTCTAGGATAATTCCCCTAAACTAATAGTAGTTTAAAACCGCAGAAGTAGGTCCGGACCGCTAAGAAGCAAACCTATATCTATATATATCTATACAAAAACATTGTAACAGGCAGCCCAACAGCTACCTTGAGCCATCTGTAACAAAGCTTCCGATAATGATACAGAACTTTCCATCTTTTAAATCTGCACGATTAAAATTTTACACTACATACCTTCAAGGTCAACTGTGGAAAGCAGCCCCTATGTTAAAACACAACTGCGATCACAGTTAATTAAACCATCCCACTCATGGAGAATTATTTTAAGTAAGAAGTGACGCAGCTACACTATTTAAATAATAATAATAATAATACCAACCTCATCCTGTTTTGTTTTAACTTGCCCAGTCAAGTCCGGCCCCCATCCTAAACGACCGATAGCAGGCGCCGTGAAGCTTTCTGATGACTTATTTGTTTTATCGGATGCAGACGCTTGCACATCTGACACTACAAAAAATTTGTAAATCATTTAATAGGACTTGAAAAATTAACTTACATAAATCCATGCCTTCGGGTTTCAAACTAACTCTTAAAGGTTCCTTATTCCGCCCCGCAAACCACTCTGAACTACTAAGTGTGGGTTTCCAAGTCACTATTGTTGGTGGGAAAAGATCATCTTGGAATAGCTCCATCTACATTGACCATAATTAGACATTGTGGTAGCGTGGAAAAACAATTACCTTAATGCGAGGAACAGTGAAAGATAGGGGTTCGATTGTGTTATTTGTCAACCTCAAAGCTTTGGCGAATTCAACGTTACTCACGTCACATTCGTTCTTTGGTAAAAATGACAATCCCTGATGTAGTGTACTGCATCGATGGTGGCTTAATGGGCAAATATATGGCGCTTCTTCCGTGACTTCGTACGCGTAGATTGTAGAATCACCTTTACCAGTTAGGAACAGGGTAGAACTGTCTTCATCGTAAAAAGGCATCAGAATGGCGGGAGAAACGTCCAACCCAACTGTGTTAAGTGGAGCACTTAGGTCATTTGCCTTATAAACCATTATTTGCCTTTCAGACACTTTATCAAATCCGGTCACAACAATACAACTGCCTTCAAGAGCCCACACAACACGCGCACCTCTACTACCCACGGGTCCCTTTCCAGTGTAAATAGGCGAAGTACCCTTTCTTGGATTATAAATTCTAATTTTACCATCTTTGCTGACCGTGGCACAATAAACCCCGCAAGGCGACCACGCAAAACTAAAAATATGCTCGGTATGTCCCTCAAGCACAATGTTTTCACTTGTATTGCTCAAATTCCAAATCCTAACCGTCATATCGTACGACCCTGACGCTAATACATTTTGCGCCAAAGGATGAAACTTAATAAAATAAATTTTATCCGAATGCGCACTAAACTCCTCTTCAGGTGTATTAATAGGTTCACTTAAACCGCTCTCCGCGATACGCCACAGTTTAATCATGCCATCATCGCAAGCCACCGCCAGGCGACTGTTGTCAAACGGATCCCAATAGAAATCCATGACGTTGCTGCCGTGTACTAAAGCCGGTATAACGCCATCTGGCAACTTGCCTCTTTTGCTCAACTCGAATATCGCAATTTTACCACCGGGTCCACTTAACGGCACGGCAACCCGCTCGGGGTTAGCTAAAACTAGATGTAAAATACCAAGCTTGAGTATAGTTCTCTACCTTGAAATCCATCACATTCTCCTGGAATCTGCCTGCTAACGTTCCTTATGTTTTCGATATGTTGAGACTTGTGCGCCGGTGTTCCTTTCAGGAGACGAAATTTGGAAACTCGCCCTGTTAACAAAATCAGTTAATGTTGACCCTGAACACCACTGGGTGGAATTAAATCAAGAATGCAACTGAGATAATTAAAAATATAATATAAAGAATAGAATATTGGAGACGATGTCTAAGTATAATTTGATTGATTGATATTAGACAGGACCTAAAATGTCCACGGGCTTCTATCAATCAAAATTTTGTTGCTCATACCTTATTCAATAAATACAAGTTTTATAGCAAAAAAGGGCATTTCCCATTTGTTTGCAAAATCTTCTTAGCTTTCCATTAGAGAGAACATTGGTACAAAATTTCAGCCAAATCGGTCAGCTCCTTACAAAGTTATCGATTGTATTAGCAAAAAGGAAGGAAACGTTGTACTTTAATTTAAAATTGGCCACTCTCGAAACACGTCAGACTTACCCCCTTTCGGTTTCTCTTTTTCTCTATAAGATGGTCTCCGTATTCTATTCGTTATCCTATTTTAAAATCACCTTTGGTCCACTAAGTATGATACTTACGACCGGTTGCAGGAAAGCGAATTTTATAATCAAAATTCTACATTATTTGCCAAATCCGAGTTTAAACAAAAATTTTGACATTTGATTGGCTGCCTACTGCAATATAAAACCAATCAAATGTCTTAATACCGGATTAAACAATAATATTTTTTTGGCTGTCAATCAATTGGAACCAAGCAAAGGTCAGTGGAAGAAACTAATTAAGGTATGAATTTCAAAGCAAAAAACTAACCAAAGACGGTAGATGTACGTTTCGGTGTTGGTGCAGGGACAGCAAGCGGTTCAACCTTCTTCCCCATCTGAGGATCCAAAGATTGCTGCTTAACAATCTGCGAATTTTTCCGATTTTCTTCAGACTCATCGTCCTTCTGATTTTTAAATGAACCCTTACGCCTTAATAATATCGGAGAGGCCGCCATTTTGTCACTGTTCGTCTCCTTTACCGACAGCGAGCGATTCTCGTACATCTTCCGCCGCTCCGCGATGCTGGTTCTTTGAGCAGACGCTCTTTCAAAATTACCGCCTAGATCATTTCCGTCAAAATTATCTTCGGGGTCATTCTCTTTGGAGTCATTGCGTGTCTCGAACATTTTTCGTCGTTCTGCAGTGGTGGGTGTTCTAGGTGTCTCTCTGGAGGAGTCTTCCTCGTGATTGTCTTCAACTTTGAGCTCCTCTTCCTCGTGCTTGGGTTCAAATAATTTTCTTCGTTCTGCAGTTGTAGGCGTTTTCACCTCTGCCTCGCCACCATTTTCATCTTCTGCGCTTAATTCTAGTTTATGCAAATTGTCTTCACACGCCTGCGTCGTACCTTCAACATCTTCTCTAATTTCAGAATTTGATATGTCATTTTCGTGAACACCATTTTGAGCCTTACCACTCGGTACTGGTGGAACACAGAACACTTTGTCGAAGCTCTCGCTTTCGTTTAGTTTAGGAGGTGTGAATGGTTTTGGACCTAGACGAGGCTGCAACAGAAATTTGCAATTACATTACGCCATCACTGTAAATAGTAGCACACGTACACACAAAGCTAAGCTAAACATAAAAATTTGTACATCACTAAACATGCTGGACAAAAATGGATGTCTACTAAACAGAAAGAGAAAGCTGCACCTTGTAACCTCCAACGATGGGTAAATTAGGATTAACAGCAGTTATAATCGGAGCACAGCTATTTGTCCTTGGTCGCGCCACAGGTTTCGGTGTTGTGCTACTGTCTTCTATAACTTCACAAATCGATCCAGTTCTCGAGGTCCTTGGCATTGGTTTCGGTGGGACAATGTGAATCCCATTTTCTAATTCCGATTTTTCTGCTGTACTGAACTCGTTGCTATTAATTTTATTATACTCGCTAATCTTATTGTCGGAAATATGTGCGCTGTCGCTTTTCGCTTTGTCACTAGGCATTGGCTTGTGTTTGGAAGAGTTCTCTTTAAAATTGTCCTTTTCTAAGTTACTAATCTTTGCCTTAATAGGCACAAAGTCGTTTTTGACTATTGCGCTAGTTACTTTTGGCTGTGTTACTTTGGAATGGTGTTGCGTTTCAATGCTGTTCTGAGAGTTTTCCATTGCTTCTTTTAATTTGCTTAATGGACCTCTATGCACCTATTGAGTGAAGGGATGTTATGTTAAATAGTACTCGGTACCATATGTAAATCAACGGATAAATCATACACACATATCTAAAGATATTACTCACAAGTCACAACAGACTACTTGTTAGGTAAAAGTGAGTTTCCTTAAAAATTTACAATTTCTAAAACGGAGAAGGCCTATACTTTAGTGTGCATTTAAAGGGCATGTTGTGTACCTTCTAAGCAAAATCAAAAAAGGAAACCGAAGTACTTGATGTACCACAAAAATCACAGCCCTTACAATAAGACTACTTATGGAAAACCGAGATTTTTGCTTGTAATTTACAGAAAAACGTTAATCTGGCCCCAGCCTATCTGCACTCTTAGAATCTATCTGTTCTATTTTTTCAAACTTGCTAATCGCAGACGTCCCACCCCCGTACATACAAGTGTTGACGTTCCATTGGTACACTCCAAATAAGATAAATTGTGGATAGGGTTGAAGCAAAATTGATACTAATCATTAATCACAATCTATTTACTATAAAAAATTGGCATATTTCCAATGATAAGCCACGTTAAAAATTTAAATAAATGAACAGAATGGAACCAGGATCAATGCAGTAATGAATATACCATATACAGTTGAATTCATGAATAATGAGTCCTGCGTCACTAGTTTGTGAACAAATTTAAAACGAGTTATTCTCTATCACATGTCAACACATGAGCGAAAAGCAGATGGGAACAATTTGAAATAGTTGGAAATTGGTTCATAAACTAGTGACGCAAGGCTCACCTTTAGTTTTTCATGATATTATATTGCAAAAAAATATCATAATTGTTTCACTTCCGGTTTTACCGTATGTGGCTAGCAACTTTCTTATTTGAAATAGCACTCCCTGTATTTTATTGCATTTTCGAGATCTACATAAAAATCTACGTCGTTTGATACCACATTTTCCTATACTCTTCATTGAAGGTTTTCAAAATGTTTAACTGTTTTTTTTAGCCTGGTACCTATGACTCAATCATGGTACAATAAGACAAGGTATGCCTATACGTGGCGTCATTGGAATAACTTGGCTCCACCGTTCAATAAAGTAATGGGGTTTGTGTAGTCCTACCAGTTAATAAAAATGTATCCCCTTTACGGATGTGATAAGATTTGTTCAATCCATGTCAACTGCGTCAAGTTTCTCACATTAAACTTACAAAGTATTAATTATTGCATGTTATCAATACAAATATTTAAAGTTACAATAAAACATGTAAGTAAAAAAAGGAAACATTATATTAGCGTTTTCAAAAGGACGAGACCTCTAGCGGTAATTAAAAAAACTTAAAAGGCTAATTAAATTTCTGAAATAAAGTATGTGGTACGTTTAGCTTCTCTGTTGCCTTATATTTATATCTAAATGCATTCAGTATTATTACTCAACCAAATTAATTGAGTAATTGCAATGGCACTTCTAATTCAAGTATAAAGTGTATGTCATTTTCAAACTTGGCGGTGATTCTTGTGACGTCATTGGGATAAAAACGTCATCTGCGTTTAGTTATAGGCATACCTTGTCTTATTGTACCATGGACTCGATTATTACATTAGCTATACCTATCTGTTATGCTTTCCGTTTTATTTTAGATTTTCTAAAATTATGACCGTTAGGAATTTATTTTTAACAATCATAGATGTCAATGTACCATTCTAGCAGACATTACTTGGGGAAAACTACTGGTTGTAACTTGACGGAGCGCCGGCTCATTGTACCCATGATGCTTACATGTCTTTGGCAAACTATTTTGAAGAGGTCCGCGGCGTTAGACCCCTAGCTCTCCAGATATAACGCCACTGGACGTTTATGTGTGGGATCATATATGATTGTTCCAGACTAATGACTCACTATAAAGGGAATTTTTTGGAAATGCGTGCATATGGATCGACTGTATAATTTTTAAAAACCATGTCAACGCAAGGAGTAGATGGCTCTATACCACTAACTATGAATTTGTTTGTAACTTAAATGTTTAATATCAACTTAGGATTACCTATTCTTTTTATTATTAGCAAGGAGAAAGAGTGCTGTTTATTATTAGCATCAAATTGTGATTTTTTAACACAATAATGTATAGCAAAGGCGAAATACTATTTCAACATAACCTCTTTGTATAGAAAAGGAATTAGCTTGAAAGGTGAAACAATTAAAAAATCATGAAATTTATGTATGTCTTCATATCCGTCCGTGGAGTAATTAAGGTTATTATTTTCGTCGTAGTGATCAATTTCGGGGTGTCTTCAGGCAGAATCAATGAAATTTCCACATCAATATGATTGTAAATTTCAAGATTCCAAGATGGCGGCCGTAGCATAGCATGAATATATGTTGATTTTTGATAAATGTTGTTACTGATTCCTAGTACTACTATACATATGCAAAGTTTCACCTTTTAAGGAATTATTTCCAGGTAGAGGTATTTTTACCTAATATGACTGGCCCATTAGTACCACTATTCAAAAAGTTGAATGAACTCAACCAAGTCAAGGATCCTTCTACCAGATGGTTCAAGGATATGGAGCATACTCAAGCTATATACTGTAACCTTTTAAATACAGCAGTATTGCTCCATAGAAAAATACAGAACATAAAGTAACATTAACAAATGACTTAGTTTTCAAGAGAGAAAAAAAGCCCTGTTAAGCCTTGTGAACCTATTTGCAAAGCAGGAATCAAGCAAGCGATCTTATAATATTACAAAAATTCCAAATTGCATAAAAATATAGATCTTTTTTATTTAATATTTCCCTTTTTATTCATAAGGTCACCAGCACCACCAGGTCTCCACATTACACCTTTACAAATGCATTGACATACAAGATATAATAATTAGTTTGAAAGATAGCCATCTCCCATATGCAACACAATGATAAGATAATAATACAATGTTACACAGTGATTTCATTTTTTTTTTGTTCGTAACAATACAAAATCTACTTGAAACTGCCAGCAAAACTAAATGGTATTTTCTCTGAGAAAAATTGTTTCGATCTTACCTCCTAGATACTAAACCAGGCACTAACTTGACCTGTCTTATGCGAATCCCTAAATTCATTCACACTTTCCACCTTACTTAAATGTAAGATACACCTAAAGGTGTCTTTCTACCAACTTACCGTAATAGGAGCCTCTCCATTAGGCCGTTTAGCTGGATCTAAACTAATTTTAGCAACTGGAATGTTTTTACCCTGGAACCAGGCGGCAGCGGTAAGATCCGAAACATACCCTGTCGTGTCCGGGTATAAATCGGCGTGAAAATCCCTGCAAAATGAGTTATAAACACGATACGGACACGTCTAAAGCACCTGTAAGTTTTTCGTGGCACTTGGTAAGTGATTGGTATAACCGATCCGCTGGTTAGCTGCAGAACTCGATTGACTTCCCCTTGCATAACGTTCAAAGCACGCTTTGGCACTAAACAGGCACCTTTCGTTTGCTCTCCAGTGTGACGCAGACCTTCTATTAGGTAAGGCTCTTTATCCGATATTTCCATGTAGGAAATTGTAGTATCACCTATGAGTACAAGTTACTTATACTAATATAAAAACAGGAAACTTTACCTTTCCCTGCCAAAAATAGCATGCCAGTGTCAGGATCATACAAAGGAATTAATATTCCAGTCGAGCAATCCAGTTCCAGTGTCTTCTCCGGGTTGGAAAAGTTTCTTAAATCGCGAACAATAACCTGCCTTAATCTGGATGCATCGAAACCAGTGGTCAATATCTTGTCATGGTCCCCCAACCAAACCACCCGCGAATCTTTAATACTCTGGTGACTATTCGCCGACTTCACACAGGAGGTTTCTACTCTAGGATCGATTATACGAACTTGCTTATCTTTACACGAGGTGACTATTAGACTGCCGTCCTTTTTCCAGCTGGTAGATTGAATTATATCGGTATGATCACTGTTGGTAAAGAAGTCTTGCTGCGATATCAAGTCCCACAAGGTTAACGTGGTATACGAAGTGGAATGGAGAAGGAAATCGGCGGTCGGATGAAATCCAACCCCTTCAACCCGTCTTTGTTTGTGAGAGAATGTGCATTCAGAATTACTGAGCGATTCTTGTAGTCCCGCCTCTGGAATGTGCCATATTTTAACTAAGCAGTCTTGTGAACCAGTCGCTAGTAGGCCATCGTGGAATGGTGAAAATTGCATGTCGGTAACTGTGTCCGAGTGTGCATGCAATAGCGGCATGAGTTTACTTTTTCTCCCGCAGTCATCGATGGGCAGTACCGCGAGACTTGATCCAGCATGGTCCCAATTAAATGCCATAAATTTGGCAGATGCTGTGATCGTATTTCCATAAGTTTGATAAGAACCAACACATATATCTCGAACATATGTTTCGGGTTTCGGTACAATTGGAGCTGCATTTTTGTATTTGGAAGCTTTAAATCTCCAAGCCATTTCAAGGGATGAGGTGTTTTCCAATATCAGCTAACTACAAATGATGATGTTTTCATTGTTTGCTAGGGTGTAGGTGTATTAAGCTGAAAAGGCTTACTTTTTAATGAAAAGGTATTCACTGGTAAAAGAATAGTATGACACGATTCATTTACAATTTTATAGGGACGCCCACAAAATTTCATTTAAGTTTAAACCTTATGGAAATGACGAACCCTTTACATCCTCGAAAAAAACGGTGACTGATTAAGGAACGCCGGTTATGCTACGTTCACACTGAAAAACAAATGACCACCTTCTCGACAAATGCCATCTTTGGTTTAAACCGTAAACTATACACCTTACCTGAGTTACCAAAGGTTCGAGACAATACTACTTGATCTCCCTCCCCGCCTGTTCCTTTAACATTTTTGACTACTTCCTCGGTTTTGTCCATGTTGTCGACTTTCTCACTTTATCTAACTCCGTAAGATGCTTCGAACCCTTGGACACCAAGCTTCGGACTTCGTACTTCCTCGTTCTCTTCAGCATCGACTTTTTATCTGGGCTACATCGGATTCTTTGATTTCTTGATATCAGACCTAGCACCTAGGTATCTTTAGTCATCAAAGAAATGACTTGTCTTTAGCTCATGGCATAATCTTCAAGAAGTTCCACTTTGAACCTTGAACGATCTCTCAAAATTTTTTCAGATTACCATTGCGAAATTGCTTTGGTATTGACTCGGAGTTTTCTGCACCGTCCATGACCCATGTACACTGCTCATCATCTTAATTTTTTAACTATTGCTCAATCTTCTTTAGAATCATTATTTTTCTGATTCTTCAGTTCAATGAACCAAGATGCTGAGATTCAAGACACAAATAAATTAAAAAAGATTTTCAAAAATCTAATAAAAGGGCATCTACCATCTACTTTTAATAAGATCCGATAGTGATGAACAAAGTAGGTACCTATATAAAATAATGATGTGTGAACTCTTCCTTACCATCAAAGGCTATATTTTGATGTGATATAATAATTATCTTCTTTATTTTATAGCAAGGTCAGGGTTGTAATTCAATCATTTATTTAAATATTATTATTACCTTTTTTTGTATTAGCAATGAATAACAATGGTGGTAAGTATTTGATCAAAATATAAAGTCGAGAATAAGAGATGTGTTGTACCTAGCAAGCGTTTTTAAGGGTGACAATTTCTACCGTTTATTTGAAAAAAGGGGGAAATCCTAGAAAAGTCATTAGAACTGATTCATTAACTTTCCTTTTCTATTTTTGTAATTGGTCACGAATTTCCCGCGCGCAACGTAAGAGGCTCTCGATCCGCTAACCCGGCATCGACCGTTGCCTACTCGCCAGGGAGTGGTAGCCATCGCCACCAATACACAAACGGGTTCATTCGTAGTGCGTGTCGACCATTGGTCTACAATTTGTCGACCAATCATTGGGAAACTGTTGTAGAAAATATCCAATGTAAGTTCACAAATTATCAAACAACTTCTTTGTATAGTTCGCGGGGTATTTTGGCTAAATCCATTCGTTGGTAAACTATTTCCAGTGATATTGACAAATTCAATGACGTTTCAGTCGAATGTTTTACTTCCTACAACTGTAATGGCGCATAGTCGTGTAGAAAACGAAAATCGCTCATTTAATTTCGTACGCGATTTACGCAAAGCGAATGTAGTTTTTTCGTGTATTTTTCGGAAGTCAAAGTCTTATTTTTGCGCCTTTTGCAGCACCAAATGGAACAATTGACAACGGCTGATGGCCAAGTCGTTATGCAGGCAGTACAGAATGTTTCACCGCAAGTACAGGTGATGCAGATGAACGCAACGGGGCAAGTAATTCAAGGCGCGAATGGGCAACAAATAATGGTTCACACCGTACCTCAACCGGGCCAGCTGCAAAATGCTCAGGGCATACAACAAATCCAAGTCGTGCCCCAGGGACAAATACTACTTCAACAACCTGCACAACAAGCACAAATTGTGCAGACAGCAGACGGTCAAACCTTTATTTATCAACCTGTTGCAATAGACAACACGAATATAACTCAAAGTCAACCAACAGGTAGTCAATAAAAACATTATAACACCTCATCTACCAATCGAAATTTTAGTATTAAACATAAATGGAAATCTTGTACAATTGACCAGCCAAACCCCAGCAAGTGCAACACCAAGTCAGTCACCAACCACAGTAGTGCCACAGTCAACGATAACAACACCAAATCAAATAGCTATGTCAAACGGCAATATTGTAATGGTAAGCCATCTAAATAAACCGCGAGAGGGAAACCATTTACTACAAATCTGTACATGTATTGCATATTACCTGATTTTTGTTCCTGGAATGTTAGTCCCAGATAACTCCTCTAATGTGCATGCCTTGCATCCATATAAGACGGTAGACTGTATAGTGGAGTACAGCCTCCAATTTCGGCTCTTGTTACATTTTCCCCTCTTAATAGTCTTGTTAGGTCACCCACACTTCTACTTCCTTTATAGGCCTGTTTTGCATTCCCTCACTTCTTTATTCCTTCATTTTCTATGCTTCCATACCTAGTGTTTTCTTGTTGCCTCTTCAAATTCTTGTACACTATACTTCTTTCTCTATATGGCACCTACTTCATTTACACCTATTTATACTGCACTATAATCCCTAATGATGCCCTTATTGCGAAATAATTCTGAGAGTTCCGAACATGTACATATCCCCCGAGTGGTTTCCCCCCTCGACAAACTACCCCACTGCCACTAATTCGGTTAGATGGTTCCGAGTACAAGCGGCAGCAGCGTGAACCAGTTCCAAAGAATGCCGTTACCGACGAACACCGAATTCTTGGAGGAGGAGCCACTGTATGTCAACGCGAAACAGTACCGCAGAATCTTGAAAAGAAGGCAAGCACGAGCAAAGTTGGAGGCAGAGGGTAAAATTCCCAAAGAGCGACCGGTAGGTCACGTCCCCCCGCTTGCACTCTTTCTATCTCTCTTCTTTGCAGAAATACTTGCACGAGTCCAGACATCGGCACGCCATGAATAGAATTCGTGGCGAAGGCGGACGTTTTCACTCTGGCTCGGTTAAAAAACGAAAGTAGGCGCTCGTTTTGCAAGCGTCCAAGCTGACAGTTTGTGTTTTAGGGAGGAGGAAGAGCAGCTGCAACGCTCACAACAGAGAAGCATCGGCGTGACATACAATAATCCGTTAGATAATGCAATAATTATAGAGGTAGGTCAGTAGTCGATGCCACTTTTACTAACAATCGCAGCTATTGCAGCCGGTAGGAGTACCTGTTATGACAGAAACCCTTTCGTCAGACCCGTTATCAATAGGTGATGCGAATTAGCTCTTCTTTCTCTTATATAAGTAAACAAAACTGTTTTAAGGCATTTTTGATAACATTTTGTAATGTATATAATTTTCAAGTTTGTACTTTTTAGTGTTATTGTAAATAATAATCTCACTTGTTTAAGTTAATTTATGTACATATATTTATTTAGTTATTAATTTTATATTGTTATTGACCTTGTTGTAAAAAGGGGAAGACTGGTTCATTATTTAAGGATAGTTTTGATGTCAATATTGTCAATTTTTGAATACATTGTATGTAATATTCGGCAAAAAGTAAATATTTTACTATTAGAAGTATTATTATGCATTAGTATTTAAAATAAATTCACGGTATGCTTGTTATGTTAATTCATTTTAGGGCTATTGATAATATCTTCATAATTATAATGCACTTTACATTATACACTTTCTTACCAAAGAATTTATTATTAATTCTCCCCCCTATTGGTGCTCAAATTCAGTGTGCCCTTACAACATGTCCATTTCAACTACCTATTTATTTCTGTTTAATACAAGGAGAATAATTACGAAATCATCGAAAATTGTTTATTCAGATAAATCCAGGTAGGAGTAACAGCCATTCCTGATGGGAGGTAACTTGCGTATTTTCCACAAACAGATTAGCACTAGAAACCAATTTCGAAAAAAAATTCGAAGGGCTGTAACTTGGACTAGTAGCCCAATCTTGGAACTGTTTGCAATTATGGATTCTACAGGCCACGTTCTATAAGAAAATTTTGTTTCCGGGTCGATCTGAGACAATTTTTTTTTCGGGGCTCAAAAGAAGACCTTCCTTTTTTACCAAAAATCGACTACACCAAAATTTCTCGGGAAAACACTTTTTCTTATTAATTTTGGTGCGTAGAATCCAAAACAATTCGTACTTTTTCGATCAGACTTCTCAATCCAAAGTTATAGACTAGAAACCAATTTCGAAAAAAAATTCAAAGGGCTGTAACTTTTGAACTAGTAGCCCAATCTCGGAACTGTTTGAAATTATGGATTCTACAGGCCACATTCTATAAGAAAATTTTTTTTCCGGGTCGATCTGAGACAATTTTTTTCGGGGCTCAAAAAAAGGCAGTGTATAACCTTCCTTTTTTACCAAAAATCGACTGCACCAAAATTTCTCGGGAAAACACTTTTTCTTATTAATTTTGGTGCGTAGAATACAAAACAATTCGTACTTTTTCGATTAGACTTCTCAATCAAAAGTTATGGACTAGAAACCAATTTCGAAAGAAAATTCAAAGGGCTGTAACTTTTTAACTAGTAGCCCAATCTTGGAACTGTTTGAAATTATGGATTCTACAGGCCACATTCTATAAGAAAATCTTTTTTCCCGGTCGATCTGAGACAATTTTTATTTCGGGGCTCAATAAAAGGCAGTGTATAACCTTCCTTTTTTACCAAAAATCGACTACCAAAAATTTTCTCGGGAAAACACTTTTTCTTATTAAATTTTGGTGGCGAAGATCCAAAACAATTCGTACTTTTTCGATCAGACTTCTCAATCAAAAGTTATAGACTAGAAACCAATTTCGAAAAAAATTCAAAGGGCTGTAACTTTTGAACTAGTAGCCCAATCTTGGAACTGTTTGAAATTATGGATTCTACAGGCCACGTTCTATAAGAAAAATTTTTTTCCGGGTCGATCTGAGAATTTTTTTTTCGGGGCTCAAAACAAAGCAGTGTCTCAATTTCTCGGGAAAACACTTCTTCTTATTAATTTGGGTGCGTAGAATCCAAATCAATTCGTACTTTTTCGATCAGACTTCTTAATCAAAAGTTTAGACCAGCATTAGAGCATAAAACGAGTGAAGTAAGAAAGGCGACTAAAAGAGACAAAATAAGAGATAGAAAAGATGAAGGATAATAAGGTTGAAACCAAGTTTCCAACTTTTGTTTTTTGTGTGAGACATACAGGGTGATTCCTATAGTACCTGCCACCGTTTGGGAGCGTGTAGGTGGTGCGTAGGGGAGTATTTTGATATAGGACACTTGGGGTCGGAAATCTAAAATAAGGGTGCCAGAGCCAAATTTACCTTCTGGAATTTCGCGCCTGTAGGTAGGCAACCCAACCGGCGGCGGTGCACACGGAGCGATCTCAGGCGGCGATGTGTGGCTGACACTTGATCAGAATTTTGTTTAAACCCACGAAATCCCGTCTGCAACGACGCGTATCAAGTGAATAAAAACTATGGCAATAGTATAATAATAGTTGGCTAGATGTAGGAAGTGCATTGAGAACAACGGTGGCCACGTTGAACACTTGTAAACGTTATTGCTTTTGACTGTCGTTTTCCCTCCTTCCCTCCCATGTCGCTTCCTCGCGCTAGGTCGCTCTGCATCGCTCCGCGCGAAACGTCGGTCGGTTGGGTTGCCTACATACAGGCGTGAAATTCCAGAAGATAAATTTGGTTCTGGCGCCCTTATTTTAGATTTCCGGCCCCAAGTGTCCTATATCAAAATACTCCCCTAGGCACCCCCTATACGCTCCCAAACGGTGGCAGGTACTATAGGAATCACCCTGTATATCGTGGGATTTGTAATAAAAATGATGCTAAATACAATATGTACTTTTGTTATGGTCTATATAAAAAAATAAAGTTGATGATGATTTCTCCGAAACGAAATGTTGCTTTGAAAATCTCTCAACGGTGTCTTGTAAAGCTCAAAAAGTGGCAATGAGAAAATGTTTTCGGTTTTTTTGTTGGACAGTGTATAACATGGTTTAGTATCACATACTTAGTCTTGAATCCATGCTGTTGAGGAAAATACTGGCTACAATAAGTACTAATAAGATTAAGCCCTTGGTAACGATCGTGTTTTGTACTTGTCGGTGCCCACGTGAGGATATTTTGAATCAGAAAACCCATTCAGATACAATTGTCTTTGTACCTGCGGTGGACTGTCTGGTGCATGCAAATGCCTAAAATCCCGCTGGTTTGTTTCAAAATAAAGAATTTTATAAATATACCATTTTGAAACGGCTGTTTAAATTATCATGATGGCCCATATAAAAGCAGTGGAGATCTAGAATCTTCTACAAAGAATTTGTTTTTGTAGCCTGTACACAGTCCTCTAATAGAGACTAATTTGATTAAAGCCCACTCCTGAAATCACCCACAGCAATATTTGATAGTTCTCTGTTCTAGCACAGGTAACATATACTATGTTGTCTGTGGTTCGAGACAAGGTTCTCCCAGTTAGATAATCGAGTGTAATAAAAAAAATCTGTTTATTCCCTTGTATTTTCTTCTCAATGCAATTGCCTTGGCTGAGCTCATAGGCCGATACTTATTCCACCACAGATTAACTACAACTACAACCGCCTTATGGACTATAGACAAGAAAATACATACATCGAAGACACTAGACACAAAACAAAGAAGTACTTATCACAATATGGTGTCAAAAATACCTGGATTAAATTAGATTTTGAAAATTGTGTATACTTAAAATAGTGAAAGTTCAAAGTATCAAGGTAATAAATTTATTATCTCATAAATATTGGGAATGGGAAACAAAAATTTGAAAATAAACCACCAAATTTTTTAGAAAAGTATCAGAAATGGTCAAAATACTGAACAATATAATTCAATAGCAAACTAGACTAATTAATGACAAGATCATAAAAACTACTAAATTTCCACATACTGGGGGTAATTAAGAAAACAACATGCAAGAAGAGGAGGTAAAAACCTATGAGAAAGTAATTAATTCAGTTGACTGAGAAAATAAAAATTAATCGAAGAATGACTATTTATTTGATACCAAAAGTACATGTAGTGGCTACAATGACCCACAACGTCTATCTATTAGCAGTATAGTTTTCACTACATATAGGTACCAATATTATGACAAAAAGGCAACATTCATTTTATTTATTTAAGAGAATGAAAAACATTACTAAAATAGCTCAAATTCTATGCAAGCTTTACAATTATAAATCTATTTTACATGCAATAATTCTATATTACAATAAATTACAAATGGTTTGAGGCCAAATCACATTAACAGTCATTATTTTATAATAGTGAATAAAACACCCAGCGTGAATATCATCGCATCGTATGAAATGTGTTGTTTTAAATAGTTGGTCCAACTAATTTGGTTATGGCAGGTCATGCGACACAGTCTGTATATTGTGCAGTCAAAAGTTTAACGAGTAAAGTTCTGAATTGCCCAGACAGTAGTTAAGAGTAATTTTGTGGCGTGTCACATTCAAATTATATGCTGGGAATTCAGAATACATGGACGTTAATAAAATTTTTTTTAGAATTAGATGCACTACATTTATGTACCCTGCTAATGTTCGATTATTTCTAAATATCCACACGATTAAACGGAAACATTGTGTAAACGTAACTTCGTCTGATTATTTATTAACTAGTGGAAAGTATCGCTTGATATGTAACGTTGAAACTTTCACGAAATATAACACATTAGCAGTATACAAGCATCAGACCTTCTATTAACTTTTGATTCGCATCATTTTTAAAGACACAAAATGTTTTACGTGTTCGGATTGTCTAAATTTGCAACAGGGAAACACTTAGTATGTAGTGCAATGTAATCGAAAGATTTCTTACTATTAAAGCGGCAAATCTCAATGCTAATTATCCCTTACTATTACAATTTAAATGTCATCGAGAAACACCGCATGTTCTAATTTTATATACTATTTCAATGTGGTAAGATTAAAAAACAGCTGTGATAAAATTCTAGTAATTTTTAATAAGTAGGTATTATTATAACCATAGTTTTGTACTCTACAAGTTAATAAATATACAAAATCACCAAATGGATTACAATAGATTAGACAATCGTAAGCTAATGGATTTTCTCAAATTAACGAAGGTATCAGTATGGCAATTATCGAAGTCGATTTTAAGACTAGATTGGATCAGGGAACTAAACAAACTCTTGAAATGGAAGCCAATTCTACATCGTTATTAACAAAAATATAATTCTAATTTATTGTCATCACTTTATTAATCTCCTACCCTACAAAGTAAGTGGCGAGATGTTGCGGGAAACTAAACCACTCTCGTAGGCATTACGTACTAGATTTGGAAAGGATTTGCCATACTAATACAAAAGAACAGATATTTTCCATTTTAAACATCCAATACAATCAAAGGTTAGAAATATACCAGAAAACCCATTAAAGTTGATAACATACAAATACCACAACTAAAATACCGACATTCCATATAAAAAATTGTTAGTACATTATTAACATTATGCAATAATTATTATAAATCGCTACTACAGCCTATCACCGTTAAAGTGGTGTATACACCTCTACATAGCTATTGACATCAAAAACACCAGTCTTGAGTACACACTAGTAATATTAATTACTAAATATCGAGTTTACAAATATATAAACCCACACTAAATCTAAAATTTTCTGTCGTGCAGCCTTTAGGTCATTAAAAATGTAAATAGTTTGTGCTACACATAGATAGTTGATATACATATAAAAATTAACATTCAAACAAAAAAAATAAGATAAATGTGAGGTTTTGTTAAGCAATAATATACATAAATGGTAACTAGAATAAATCAACCCAACATCCAATTAGTATACGCATAATATAAATGAATAAAAGCATCTAAGCACGATCAATGTAGTACGTTTTAGAGAGATCGACAGATATAGTGTCGGATAATTGAGGTACTAGGTTATTTTTATTGTGCTAGGTTTTGATATATTCCACAAGCGTAATATTAAACTATAACACCAAACGAAAGTAAAAGAAGCAATATGTACAAAAGTTAAACCAGTAATACTGCGAATTTTTGAAACAAAAATATAGGCCAACCTTACAATGAAAATGATTCGATGCCCAAAATAACAATAATACCTAATTTGGCAACAGTCTATTATAGTAACACTAATGAAGTGTTAATTCATGGGACACCCTGTGCTTTTTTTTTAATTAGTTAAAGAGACATCATTCGCTTCCTAAACTTGCAAATTAAAATCTTTGGTGCGACTACAAGAAAATTTTATTATCATTACATATTGTTCTGATTAAGGCAATAAATTGCATTTACTAAAATTGAAAGAAACAATCCTACGAAGCATACAAACACACCAACACACGAACCATTAATCTTATGACTGTTTAAAAGCGTAAAGGAACAAAGGAACCTTAGAGATGTAGTAAGACGACGTATATGTACAAAGTATGGTAGACTACGCTATTAACTTTTTTCATAATATTAACACGCAAATACTAAAAACATCACCAATCTAATCTACACAATCCAAAAATATTTTTATTTGTACAACTACCAATAATATAAAACTCTGTAGAGTTCTCGGCATTGTACCAATCTACTTTGAATGTTAAACCCTCTTCGGTGGGTTCGGACATATTTTATAAAACCCACCATTTTATTATTATTAGGCATATATTTATATAATATATATACAATTTAAAATGATCATCTTAAATATCACAACTATTGCCGTAACTTCATTGACGTTAATAAAAGTTTGAAGAATGACATACAGCTATCTAAATCGACAAACGTCAAAACACCAACGGTTAAGTCAAACTAAGAGGCACATCGAGTTATATTAATCAGTACTAATAATTCAAGTAACTATAATAGCCGTTTCTTTGAAATTGAAACATTTTAAATATATTTTCATTATAAAAGTGACACGTTCGTGGCACCGATCAGCGATATGCAAATACTAAAATACGAGTTTTGAGCATAGAATTCGGCACAAATAAACTCAGGAAAAAGAAAATCAGCGATGGGTTTATCTACAAGTGCGCCCGCAAAGTTGTATATCTCACAGCTCTTGGTATTTCCTAAAGTAAACTTAAAAAAGCTAAATAAATAATAACAAAAAAAAAGCAGAGAGATAAATAGTGTGCCTCTAAATGTAAATTATCACAAAATAATAGTGGAACTGACACAGATGAAAATTACAAACTAGGGAACAAAACGGCCGATATGCGAATTGAATTCCAAATCGTAGCCCCCACTAAATTCACATGAAAAGACCATCACTGTGCTGTCCCACCCTGTGATTTAATGAAACGTCCCGAAATGGCGAGATTATTTAAATATGATCTAAATTGACTAAATTTTTCAAAGAAACAGGACATTTTAACTACACGCGAAAATATTAAAGCAATTTTTTAAGGCCATATATGTATATACCTACATTTAAATAATTTTTTATAACACGGCCACCTAAACTAAGTCTGTCGTGTGCTATTTAGTGAATAGTTACGAGAATTTTAGGCAGATCTTAAAATATTTCACTATACATCTACCCTCATAAATACATTCAACACACAACATGGTATACGGCTAGCGAGAAAGTACCGTAAAAAGTAAAAGCGGAAAAATTTGTGAATTTTATATCCTAAAATTGTATGCAATTAATTTGAATTATTGTGGTTAAAATGCGTGTGATGTTAGTAAATGTTTCTTAATTCGAGATTAAGCGATTATAAAAATTAAACAACTAGGATGCATGCATTTTGATTTTAGACATGCATACTAGACATAGAAACACTTACCTACATTAATAACTATAGCTAACATAAAAGCATTACAACACGAATACAAATAAAAGTCAATTACACGAAATTCCAGATTTGGCTAAGATGCATAATCCGTAAAAATAAATTCAAAGTTTCCCTTAAAAATAAAAAGATTAAAATATAACAGTTCACGTGTTCATTCAGTATTGTATCACATTAGCTTCCTCTCCGTCTTTAGATAAAATTAATAAGTATATAACTTGTTAGTTACAATAAAAGTTCATATTTACAAAGTTTAAAAAGTAAGATACAAAAACTACCTTTTTTAAAAATTAAATACCAGTACTTATTATATCACTTAACGTAGTACGCTTATTACAGTGCTGACACCAACAAATAACAAATTAAATTAAACCACTCGAGTATATAATTACAATACGAAATGCAGTAACTAAACTCTACTTATTAAAAAATTGCACTTGATCTTTATACAATGGTTTCAAGTTTAATAGTAGACAATACTGCATAATCAATATTTCAATTACGCGTTAAACTCAAAAAAAGCAGAAAACAACCCACTAATTTGAAAAAAATTAACTACGACTAGAACTAGAAAAAACTTTGACAATTATTATAAATACCCTTTAAAATTAAAAAAAAAAGAAACAAATCATAACCGGCGAAAAGCCATTTTACTTACAATAACAAAATAAATACGACCATTAATAACAATGGATTTCAAGTTATGCAATATTATCGGAGGATAATAAAAAATTAGTACTTACAAAACTAATTAATAATCTTCTTTCATCAAGAATTGTTTATTCGGCAAACCAGAAACTTGACTGATATTGATGGGTCTTTGCTGGACTGAGCGGAGCAAATCCGTACGGCGCAGCAGCGACTTGCGGATGAGAAGGAAATTGTAAATGTGCGGGTAATGGATGAGTTGTGTGACTTGCCAGAACAGGTCGAGCACTAGAATGATGCGCAGGAGGAGGAAGTGCACGACTGTTGGAAAATAAAAACAATTACACAATGCCTCCATTATCTACTAATAGAAACAGTCGCGAGAATTACTAATAATGTATGGCAACGATCCGCACATAACGGTCAAATATTGACCAGGGTACCTTAAATAGTGTTGATGTTTGTCACAGTCCGAGTTAAGATGCATACTTACCCCGCAGGCGCTACTTGGTGCGTGGCAGGAAGATATGCAGGTTGAGTGGTTGTTACGTAAACGGCCGGCCGACGATATAACTCAGTTTGATGATATAAAGGCTGGCCGGCGGCGGCGGCAAGTGAATGTTGCGGTGATAAACGAGGTGCACCGGCGAGTGGTTGTGGTGAAAGGTGAGAGTTGCTATGTCTGCAAAGTCGGGAGGTAAATTAACGGAACCGGGCGTTAAATTCGAGTACCTATAACTTTGATGAATCGTTTGAGGATGTGCCCAACTTTTGCCAGGTGCCAATAAGTGTTGTTCACGAGCGACAGCCAAACTATCTCTAGTCGAATGTGCAGCGGGTGGTTGTATGTACTCCTTATGTGCTTGGTTAGGTATGTTATAATCACGAAGATTCACAACAGGTACGGCGGAGTGGCGACGTTGACTCCCATGCGATGAGTTCGGGGCATGTGCAGCTGGTGGTGCCCAAGAAACTCTTTTGTCATTTGTAGCATAAACCACATGCTGATCTTGATTATTGATGTGATTCATAGGAGCTGCATTTATGTAATGGTACGCCTGAATTTGTTCCTTACAAGCGGATGTACAATGAGAGCTTGCGTGAATATGAGGCTGTTGTGGTATTAAATATTCATTCGAACGATGGTGCTGATGGTATTCAATGCCCGGTTCCTGTTTTGTGGGCACATTTAGCATGCATTCTGATTGTGCTTTGGCAAGCAACCGTTTCTTTTGAGACTGAGTAGAATAGTTTACATTCGGTGCAACCTCGTGTTTTATTTCTTGATGATACACTTGCCCCATTGTCTGCAAAGGAGAAATTCAAATATTACATTTCACCATATTTTCTGGCAGCAGTTCGATCTCCACAAATAATTTCTATAGTGGAATTTTTCTTTACAAAACAGATATTACCACCAGCATGAAACATTGATGGCGAAAGATATTCAAGTCAATCAGGAAACCTCCCTTTTGAAGAACAAATCAAGGTATTGATATACAAACTGAAGTGAACAAATTTAAGATCAAGATCCCTTAAGAAGGGGATGATGCAGATGTGAAAATTATGCAGAATGCAACAGGAAGGTATGCAAAATAACAGACAGGAGAGGGCTACATCAGAAGTTCTCAAAAATTCTAATCAACTTTTGCCTCAAAGTATTTGCCATTGCGCTGGTTGAGTAGTAAATACCACATGTGTCCAAAAGTTCAAGGAATCATTTTTATTATTTTTCCGAGGCCTTAACTACTCCTCCAGTTTTCAAGATTTTGTTGTTTTTAAATTCGGTAGCTTATAGCTCTGGTACATGAACCAAGAACAATCTTGATGATTAATATGCGAATGCGCAATGTCAACTTTCTTGATATTTGATCTTGATATATTTTTTAAATTTTAACCACACATTCTTCTAGTACAGGCAAACCTATCGCATGCAGGTGTGCACCGGCGCAGACTGCGCAATGCTAAGTTTCTTATTTATAAGAATATTTATGCCTTACCTTATTTTCCTTTGTACACATAAATAGTACGTTATATGATCTTTCGGAAAGTACTGATCCATTCATGGAAAATGCACTAGTTACTCGCCTTAGGGCGGAAACTTTTATTTCAGTGTTTGTTATTAATCCAGGAATTACAACCGAAATATTTATAAAATGAAAAGTTACATTAAATAGCCTGATCAACGTCACATAGCAATTAAGCGCTAATTATCCGCCCTTTAGCACTGTTGAAATGATTTTTTATTATTTTTTCATAGAGCCCTCGAGTTAGTCAGGTCGGCCAGGTATGAAAATTTCAGTAACTTTATAACTATTTTATAAAGGCTGCCATTTGAAACGTTCAGAATATACAATTAATCTATTTACAGGGTCCTTATTAAAGATGGAACCAAAGCTCTCGCGCTCAAACAATTTTAACAGGTACATGTTTAAGGGGATTTACGATAATTCAACCGCTTTAACCGGATTGGTAGAAATCACCATAGAAACAATTGGTGGCAATAATTGTAACCATAGCAAAATCTACCAACCCGGTTTAACCGGTTGAATTATCGTAAATCCCCTAATGTATCACAGGACCCATTAAAAAAAACAAGATGGTGGTTGCACTCAAAAACCATGTGTCAAAAAAACCACAAAATACATGAAACAATTTCAAATTTCATGTCTATATCTCAAACGGTTTTAGCGCGAAAGCAACCCCGTGTATGATATTTGATTTGTTGGATTCGTCTCTCCGACTCAAACAGCAAAGTAACCATTCAAATACAAAAAAACACGAAAACAATATAAAGAAAATAGTTATAAAACTAAATAAGAAAGACCTAATGACAACAACAGACAACTCACGTTTTCAATCTTGCGATTATGCAACAAACGAGACAAATCAAGTTTTAGTAGACATCTGTTAACTCACAATACTTCCAAGTGTTTAAAGTGTGTACAGTGTGCCGCCTAAAAATACGCAATACAGTGCTAGCATTGAGTTATGTAATCAAATCAAAAGAAGGAATTGTTTCTCTGCCTCTGCTAGCTTCCAAGATTTTTGAAAAACGAACTCTGTTAAAAATAAAAATGTTTGTGTCACATTTTTACCAACAAGAACAAGAAATAAACCTGGAAAATGAAAGGAGCCACCACTTTTGAAAAACATGTGGTGATATTTTCCAAATCTGGAATCTGGAAAAATTTTGGAAATATCTAAAACTCACAAAACTTGATTTAGATACCTATAGAAATGCCTATAAATGAAAATGTTATAGGCAATAATTAGTAAATAGTTTACCCCCTTAGAGTAAGCGTAAATAACCATGACACTTACCTTGCATCCAACCTTTTGATCTTCATTATCACTATCTCCGACATTAACACAGCTGATAACATTCTTCCTATGTTTAGTAGAAGCGCCAGTATTATTTTGATTCGATTGACCACGTCGATTTGATTTTCCCGCCGGCGTCGTGTCGTCCTCGCTATCCGAGATGGTAATCACAGAAACAGTAGGCGAAGGCGTGTCGTTTATTGTTATGGTATGTTGTCGATTACTTCCGTTTGCGTGATGGTGATTGTACGAGTTTGAGTGTTTGCCATGCGACTGGTAAGTATGCTGCCAGTGACCGTTGGTGGGACTGTGATTTCTTCTGCCACTGTTGTATCCGTTCATGTGTTCCGAAGGTGGTGTACTTTCTTTGACGCGTTTTTTCACGGGACTTAGTTGAGTCTGTTCTTTTTTGTCGTGTTGGGATCGATGTGTGGGGACCATTAGATGGTGGTGCCCGTGATGCGAACTGGGCTGTTGCATGTGATGATTTTTTGAACTTCGTTTGCTGGAAGTCCAAGGAGCTGTATGCTCGACGATTGCAGGATTGTAAACTTCGGTCGCCACGTCCACAGGAAATACCGGACGCTGTTCTTGCAAAATGGCAGAAGAATCTACCAGAAGTGGTCTGCCCCAATCGGCAGCATCCGATAGGATCGGTTGTTGGATCGAGGCGTGCTGTGGTGGTAATTGTTGCCAGGATGGTACAATTGCCATCTGCCTGTTTGCCGGCCAGGACGTTTGAACCGCATTGGTCAACAACATCTGTCGACCATTTGGTTCAACTACACTGACTGGGACATACTGCTGTTGACCAGGTTGGCTTAGTATAGGAGGTTGTATCTGTAGGGGAGGCTGTTGCACTACAGTGACGTGTTTAGCAGGGCTAGCGCCCATTCCTTGATAACCAGCAGGACAAAGTATGCTAGAGACAAGTTGATGTTGAAATGGATCTGCTCGACTACTGGTCGTATATTGCCTCCCAACAGACCGCCCGTTGTAAATTTGATATAAGTTATCATATCCTGAGCGTTCACGCACTAACCTCTGCACTTGATTGGTCAGTTGATTATTAATAGTAAATGTGACATTTCCATTGGAGCTAGGAACGAAATTAGCTACTAAAGATGGTGCCTGTTGCGCCGGTTGATGATGAGTAGTAGCACCGGTGTTATTATAATCGTTTCGCCGACACACCTCCATCATTTGAACACTTGCCTTAACGTTATTGCAGTGAGCATAATCGACTAAGTGAGCTAAACGTACAAATGGATGATTCAACGCTTCTCCGGGTGTTGTACGCCTTTCTTGGTCCATTGTGAGCATTCGTTTAAGCAAGTCTATAAACTCTTTCCTATCGACTTTCTCTGCCAATAACTGGCCTCCTTCTAAATCCGTCGGTACGTTCACCTGCCCAATATCGTCCAAACAATTAAATATGTACTTCCTCGCTTCTTTAGATTTAATTCCCGTTTCCGCCTCGTGTTCTTCGGGTGTTTTCAGTCGCCAAAATGGATATGTGCTGTCCATATCTCGATAGAAAAATTTTGTAGTTTTTGAGGCATTATTCAACATATGTTCGGTTGGTAACCCCTGTGTTTGACTAATATATCGAATCTGATCGTACTCTGAAGAACCCGGATACAGAGGCCAGCCCAAAAACAGTTCGGCCACAACACAACCCAAAGACCACATATCTATCGCTTCGCAAAATGGCAGTCCCAAAATAATCTCTGGCGCTCGATAGTATCGAGACTGCAAGTAGGTGTTACATACTGCCTTACTAACGTGACTTGCGCTTCCAAAGTCTATTACTTTAACACGATACGGTTGCCTTACCGGATCAACTAACATTATGTTTTCAGGTTTTAGATCTGCGTGAATGAGGCCTAGTTGCTGTAAAAAAAAATGATCGCTTTCAATAGTTACACATAAATACTCGATGACCCACCTTTAGTTTTAGCAAAGCAGTAAGGACTTGTTGCAGAATCGGTCGAATGTATTTAAGCGGTAGTGGACTAAACTTGTTTTGCTTCAGGAAGTCGTATAAGTTCTGTTCGAGCATCTCGAACACAAGACACGTGTGGTTCTTGTGCTGAAAGCATTCGTACGCCCGTACAAAATTAAATTCGTCCGCATTTTCTTGACTTAATCGTGACAATATGCTAACTTCTATTTGACCCTGAAAGGCAAAATTGTACAATTAATTTTATTCAATTAAAAACCAATTTAACTTTAAACAGTGTATGGGAAATATCACAAAAATTATTGTATAAAAAAGGTAGACAATACTGTATCTATACGTTGTGTCCAAGATAAGGATGTCTACCATGGGGATCTCGGAAACCCGTAAAAAAGTACATACAGTATTGAGTAGCATTTTTATTATGATACAACAATGTACAGCACACACAAAAACAAAAGTTTGAAACTGTTGGTTTCAACAGGATGGTGCACCCACGTACAACGCCCTAATCATGACAGAATATCTATCGGACAAATTTCCTGAAAAATGGAAAAATTCCACCAATAGGTATTGTCACATGATTAGGGGGTTGCGTGTGGGTGCACTGTCCTGTTGAAACCAGCATAAATATCCTTCTATTGGACACAGCGTATATTATTATTTCTGGTTATTTTGTTTTTGAAAAAGGTCACAGTAAGAAAATGAAATTTCTATAAAATCTGAGTTTTCTCACACAAAAAATTCCCAGATTCTTAAGAGAAGACGATCATCGAAATTCACAATATATTATGCTTGACAAGAACATTTTTACCAAATGGCACTTAACCTTAAAACTCTAACAGCTTCAAATTACCTTTCTACTGGGGAATAGATTTTAATCTGTTGAAGAATAATTTAATTTCAGAAAGAATAGTAATGCATTCCTATGTAAAAAAAAATAAGGTTGAAGTGGAACTACAGTGTTAAAAGAACTTTAAAAACAATACCAGTCTTGTAAACCCAGTGACAAAGAGAGATATAGGGTTTTCGCTATAAAAAGCGTTGCACGTCATTGATTTGATGACATCAACAATACACGACATTGCCAAATATTTCTAAGGTATGCTGATATATTAATCTTTTATTAAGGAAACACTTTTAGGTTATGTTTCTACCATCCAGATTCCAGAGGAACTAGAAAATTCAGAGATCATTTTGTGGGCTCTCTGTGTGAAACCAACCTACTGTGCATCAATAAAACCCATTCCTACTGTGCTGTGACGAGTTCAAGGAAAGTGCAGTCCACTAAGTGACAAGTGTAGTACCTACTATTAGCATTTTGTTTATAACGTATCGCTGCCGTTGTGAGCAGAAAGATGAGGAATGTGGGCATTGCGGCATTATGTAAATGTTTCGGAAGTTATAAACCATTGCATAGGCCATCAGCAAATAAATATCAAGTTAATGCTTGCTTGAAATCTTGACTGATTTTACGTTATTTGACCAACTCTTGCTGTAGTGGAATTTGAGACTAGTAAGTTCAACCGAGACAAAAAACACAAGAAATTTTATTCAACTACATAAAATGATAATCAACATAAACTGATATGATCGTAAAAAGGTGAAAGATACTTTTCAGACTACGTAACATGCCATTTTGTTAACATAAAGAAAATAAATTTTAATACACAGTTCTCGTGACTTAGGTAATTGCAGTTTTATTTATTGTCCAGTCAATCGTAATCACTCGACTATCATTTTCACCCAGTTTATAATAATTGGGACCATTTCTGCAATATCCAATTGTTTTTCGCGTTCATACCGTTCCTTTATTAACTTTTCGGTGTGATTAATTGAATTTTTCCACATTTCTGAGGTTACAATCGCAAGTGCAAGTTTATTGTGTAACCAATCTTGAAAATCTGTCCAATACGATAACACTTGGTTCTTCTAAATTTACTAATAATTGTTTTTCAAACCAATGTAAAAAGTTTTCAAGATTCATTTGTCCGTGGTAATCGCCAGTACTTTTAGATGCAAATACGAGATCTGCGATATCAAAGATTCGTTTTGTTTAAAAGCTTGGGAAATTCTGCTGACCGTAGAAATGTTTAAATGTAATGCTGCCGCAATGCGCTGAAGGTAATCACAATTAGTAGAAGTAGTCAGAAGTAATTGAAACCATTCTTACCTCTCGAACTGAACCTAATGGTAATAAGGAACCCCCATTATCTCGTTCCTGTTCAAAATATTGAATTAAAGAGTCAGGAGTTCCTTCACTTTACTGGTCAAATGTTTCGGCATTGTGGCGAGTACAAATGCAAATAACGGTAGAATGTACACAAACAGCAATTTTGTTCTGAACAGAACACATTTTTTTGCACTAAGAGTGAAGATGAATAATAACAACAACCACAAGAATAACCGAAAACTTTCACACGCAAAAACCGAACAAAAGTGTCAAATGTCAACAAATATTACAAATAACGTTTGGCAACATTGTAAAAAAAATTCCGAATATGCCAACTTATTCTCCCAAAAAGTAACTAAATAATAATGAATATAAATCCGCCAAATCTTGATTTAAATTGGCATGCCATTTGCTTCTGTTGATAACGTGCAACGCTATTTATAGCGAAAACCGTATAGTTGACAAAAAACATCCACTTCGACACGTTAAAAGAGCGACTTTAACCGCGTTTGCGAATATTGAGGGTGCTTTCAATAACATCTGGCATAAAGCCATCGCAGCGGCCGCTAGAAACAAAGGCCTCCCCTCCACAACAATACGCTGGATAAAGTCCAGATTGAGAAGCAGAAACCACCAATGATCTTAGTAAAAGTTGAGCAAACAACATAGTATTACAGGGGCCATGCGCAACTGTCATGCAGTCACTATGAAGGCACTGCTAGGCCTTGCACCTCTCCACTTAATTGCGAAGAAGCAGACGATGGGAAGCACTATAGCACTGCACTGAACCAAGGGGTTCTAACTACAAAACGTCAGAGTAGTAACTATCTTCTTCAATCGACAAAAATCCTTAGGTGATTAAAGGCTACCCTGCCTTACCCTCACATACCGGGTTGTGCCTAGCGCGACGCAGCATAGTGATTTCAATGGTAATTTCTTTATAGTCAATTACTAGCTCCCCTAATTATTTTAGAGCAAAAGTCTAAATACGTTTTCTTTAGAGAAAAAAATACTGCACTGTTCATACTATTATTTATAATTTTTCCGTTTTTCAAAACCGTAGAAATCGACAAAATAAAAAGGTTCATTTTACAATAAATCAAATATGCCTTGGAATTACCTAAAAAAACAGCGATCACGTTTCATTATTTGCCTTTGACGTATATTAAATTTATGTTTAATAATTAAAAATTAGTTAAGTGACTGCAAGAGCAATAACACTCAAAATGTAGGTCAAAACCATCAGGAAAACGACAATACTATCAACGTTTTGGCTGCATAGCAGAACATCCGAATATAAGTTTAGGAACAAATCTGCTTCAAATCAGTTTTTTTTTCTTCCATTATGTAGATACTCTGATTCTCTCTGATAAACAAATAGTATCTGATGCAGATGCAGCATACATTCTCTAAAAAAGCATTACCCAATTGCCGCTTTTTCTTGCATCGGATAGTTGTAACAGAATTAAATATGAAAATCGTTCGACGTCAAATAACGATAACTCAGATGCGCTTGTAGTTTGTTAAAAGATTCCAAAGCATCACTGATTTATAAAAATGTAATTTTTTATTTTGTCGATTTTTACGGTTTTGAAAAATGGAAAATTACAACTAAAAGTATGAACAGATGCAGTATTTTTTTCTCTAAAAAAAACTTATTTAGACTTTTTGCTCTAAAATAATTAGGGGAGCTAGTAATTGACTATAAAGAAATTACCATTGAAATCCCTATGCTGCGTTGCGCTAGGCACCACCCTGTATATAGAATACAATACAACATGCATTCTAGACAACGCTACATTTTCAGTGGATTTCCAATAATAACTCAGTACATGTACACCACCACTACCTACCCCAAAGTGGTGAAGAAGGAAACTCAATGAGAACAAAACCACAACAGTCAAATCACCTACTAGAACAAGAGTGAATATCCAACAGCTCCTTTGCAATTGAATGCAGAACAGTCTTTTGTGATTGCAGATACTTTGTTTGCCAGTTCTTCATACAACCAAGAGGGAATAAATACCCTTTTCATTTTTCTTTACCTTTCACATGTTTCGTACGACTTACCACAAAACTCACACAATAGCCAATTAGATAGCTTACCTGTCTAGCATAAGATGGATGATTTTTCAAAATTTTAATAGCCACAATTTCATTGGTACCCTTTTTCCAACACTTCACAACCTGTCCAAAGGTACCTCGTCCCAAAAATTCCAACACTTCATATTGATTTGTCATTGAGTAGAGCACCTCATGCTGCACTAGCTGATAGTCTCCATCAGCCCCGCTACCCGAGCCTCCTGCGGACATTGCATTGGGAGATTAGCAATTTGGGACAGTCGATTTCTTACCTTGAGGCTGCGGGTTGGCCCCAGGGGCCGCAGTAACCTTACTGTGGGCCGTCGTGGTGGTTTCGTTGCCAGTACTCGTATTAATAAGAGTCTCCCCGCTATCACCATTACCTTCCCGCGACCAAGCTTTTCGCTGCAAATTGAAAGTTAGTAAAAAGAAACTTCTCCCCCTACGCACTACCTTCTGGCCGCAGCGTTGGTACGTATCTAACAATTTAATAGTTGACGCCCGCACGAACGGTTGTTGATTATTAGGACTAGCATGATTTAAATCTGTTTGACTCGAACTGTTTACTGAATATGCGGTTTGCTGCTGTGCGAAAGGTTCGCTAATATAATGTTCTGTCTTGCGCTTCTTTGTTTGCACCACCCCGCTGCTACTACTTGTACCCAACTGCTGGGATTGGATGAACATGTCACGCATTCCCTGCAAACACAAAAATGTTGAAAACACAACAATTTGAGTTGTAAAGTTTTATTACGTAACATTTATCACATCCTTTACCACAATTAGTGGAAAAACTCACTTATCGTGCAGTGGTACGGAATTACCATTAACAATTCGTACTAGTGGCATAGTTACCGCAGCCATTTTGCCCCAATAGCAAAATAAAAGTTACATAATTGTTGTAAACGTAAAAGCGGGAAAGCACTCAATTAAATATTAGTATGTAAATATCATAACATAAACTTAACGAGCCATAGAGAGAGAGAGAGTTTATTTGGCAATGGGTAACTTAAATGCGCCGTAATTTAGTAACGCAAATACGCAGTTTGTAGATAACCACGTTTTATATTTCATTCAATTGCGCCTTCTACTCAAACTTTGACAAGTTTTGATCATTTACAGAATAAACTCTGAAGTGATATGATTAGACCATTCCTTTGATAGTATTCTAATTACAGAATGTAATGGCGATAAAAAGAGGGGGAGAATATTCGAGATAAGATAATAAGCTGGAATGAGTTCCTAATTAAAAAAAGAAAGGCATATAAGATGTTCTTGGTAAGTCTATGACCCATACAACAATAAAGGTCACAGACTTCATACATACAATACTATCAAAACTACTACTTCTTCATTCGAAACTAGCCGATACTGTCAAAGGTTAAACACTGGTTAACATATGCATCAACTTCCAATTTTTTTAAGACAATTAAAAAAAACGAGATTAACGGTCTCTGAAAAGTAATTAGAATTCTTCATGAATGGAGTACCAAATTTTAATGAATTGATGTGTGGTTCTCACGTCGACGTGTATATGTAAATCACCTTTAAATGGCGAGGTAAATGAAAACATACAATCTTACAAAAGAACATAAATTATGGGCGACGGCGCGTGAAACCGAAACAAATTGTACGGTAAATAAGTCATCTTAAGTTTAGCTTTTTCGCCTTTCTTTATTTCCAAGTGGCAGTTTTTAAAAGCCTTCTTCGTAACCATTTTTTTCAAAAATCTTGAAAAAAATGTTCTACAACAAAACCATCTTAATACCTAATTCACATTGGAAACTTTTCCCAGAAACCTTTTTGCAAAATTGACTAGAAATATTTTTAAAAACTTATTAGTAATGTTCGAATTCCGATACAGCTTTTGGGAAAGTAGCTGAAAAATCATTAGGAACCATTATAGAAACAATCACTTTAGAAATATTCTTTAGGATTTACACAGAAATCGTCCATTTTTAAACCATACTACTTGACAAAATACATACCTACACAAATTTGAACTTGACAAAAATAAAAGCAATAGTTACCATTACCCATGATGAAACACGTGTCAACACAGACAGACCAAATGGAGCATAGGAGTGAACTTGAAAGAACTGTGTAATCGTATTTGCCATTTCATTTACTAATTATATATCAACAAAACAATGGGCGGAATTGATCAAGATAAGTGTGATAAAGAGATCAATTTTGGATGAGATTACACTATACAGACACCTGCCACTCATGATAAGTAGGGTTTTAACTTGCTCGTGCCTATCGGGGCGTTTTTTGAATAATCAATCGATGGATGTTATTCAAAAGAAATTACTACCTATTTCGATGGATTGAATAAGTTTAACAATAGAAAATAAATAGATTTACTGCCTTGTTGTTGCTTCAGCCTTTCACTCGGCCTTTCACGACAGTCCAAGATGGAAACTGAACTATAATTTGCATTTTCAACATGATTTTTAGTAATTTCCAAGCTTTCCAAGAAATGAATAGTTTAAACTGTAGATACTGTTTCTTTTTGCAACATTCCCAAAATATTAAGTCATCTCTGGAAGTGTACAGGGTGGTTCAAATTTGTGGCTCACCATTGGGATCTTGTGACAGTGAGAGATACAGCGTAGGTTAAATGGGGGAAAAGTTTCTCCCTTTTTGTGACAATTTTGATTGTTTTGTCCGTCATCATCAGTTTGTATATTTTTGGTTTCCTATTCCTTTATAACAATGTTGGATTGCATAACACGTCTCCACCATGCATGCGCAAGCGAAACGCCTACACAAACTTACGCCTATATAATCAAGAATGGTGCAGTTCTCATTAAATTCATTGCTCGATTCTTTGACAATTTCCAGCTCATAACATTCGCCAACAATGCCAGGTTTAACCGATTATCCTGCTTTATGTCATCCCATAATTACACGATTGTCGTTAAGGCACACAGACTGCTGTTGATGCGACCTGAAAACGTCTGCACCTAGGGAGTGCCACCCTCGGTGCCGCCCATATGATACCATTAATGTATCGGTCATTTGCGGTTGATATGCCGATATTAATATTGATATCAGTTGATCGCCGTTTTTTTATGAAAAAAAAAAAGCTAATAATTTCTTGGGCCCGCAAAGTTGAGCAGTTTCCGAGATATTCACGATTTTCGTAAAAACGAACCTCTTTTTCGTCAACTTATTTTAATAATCAAAAATAAATAATATTATTCCGATAGACAAATTTCGAGAAAATCACCAAAAACTGAAATTTTTTATCCCCGACCCCAACGCACGCGCACAGTGCAGTTTATTGTGTTTTAGAGGCTGCACCTCGGGCTGCACGATTATCAGATGTTTATTGCTACTCGCTTTCGGTTCTGATAATGCCATCTGCTATTTGAATTAATTCGTGCCAACCCTGCTGTATAATAATGAATTATTTTATCTATTAATTATGTTTGCTAAAAAGCTTCACATGATAAGATGTTTCTTCAGATGTATCATTTAATCCAACTAAAACCCTGAAATGATCGTAATTGGGAGCAAAAAAAAGCTAAGCCACCATTAAACAATAAAGTGCTATAGCTACATCGTGGAATTCAGAATAAAAGGGCGCTTTAAGAATAGGATATCTGAATATCAGGGCCGTATTTAAAAAAAAAGGTTGATGGAGGATCCACAAAGAGAAAACGTCTGCTTAAAAAATTAACAACGCCACCTTAAAGAGCATAAAAAGTTTCTGCGAAGAAGTGTCATTGGTTTTGCTGTACGTCGAGTACTAACGGAAGAAAAAAATATAAAAAAAATCAAAAAATCTGATTTCTTTTAAATATTTCAAAAACTAGTTTATTTATCGTTTCCAATGCTCGGGAACTTTCGAGAATATTCGGAAATTTTTGTAAGTAATATCTTTTGCAAAATATCTTACACTACCAAATATACCCTGAAAAAATTTTTTTAATAAAGTTGTTTTTAAAAAGAATAAAATACATTAGTTTTAAATTGTTTATTTAACATACATAAAAAAGAAAAACTTTTCAGTGTCAGTTCATATGACATAACAAATACCTCGACAAATACTGACAACAAAACTAAAAATTCAGATAACTTAAATAAAACTTCCTCAATAATTCAAAACCCTCACAAAAATCTAATTCGTTTGCAAAAATGAAGAAAATTCCATTATGCGGATCTTAAAATTTTATAGTAAAAAACTGGAAATTTCGGAAGAATGTTTTTGTAATGTTTAGAGTATTTATCGCAAATATTCCCTTTAATTTCCGGTGTGCGAATATTTGTTCTTAGCAATGTGACTATTTGTGGAAATATTTCAAAATTCGCTTAGAAACATTCACCACTCACAAGTGCAGGCTTTAGACTTTTCGATTGCCCAACTTTTCTCCCATTTACTCACATGTGTATCTCTTACCCTTTCTAGGACACCTTACACCTTTCTAGACATTTTGACGGGCTTAAATTTAGTCTCAAGACCAGAGTCAAAACCAGAGAGAAAGAAAAGAAATGCTGCAAAGAGAAAAACATTAAAATAATTTTATTAGTCAGACCTAACGATTCAAATTGGACACTTGTAACACTTTCAATCTGTACTTAATCCTTAAAATTTTAATCTTGACATTTATGAGTTGAGGTTGAATCTTAGTATGTAGTTGATCTTGAAGTTGTGGACTCTTGCAACTTAAGCTTTAAGTTTGAAATTTAACACTCGAACGCTTGCATTTGGAGTATGGGAATTAAGAATCTGGAAGCTTACATCTTGACACCCGCTTTAGAGGGAGCGGTTAGGATCTGAAAATTGAAATGTTGAAAATCTTTTTGCTTGAATGCTGAAAATCGCTTCAACTTTACGGCCAAATGATGTCACAATCGACTATGCGACACCTTTCTACTGTTACACTTCATCTATTCGAGAAAGGAGTTCGGACAACACGAAAAGCTTTGGCGAAATTTTGACATCAGGGTCCAAGACAACAGGATACCCATTTTAAAACAATTGAATCACTCACATATGTACCGTTCGTAGCCTGATTATTCATGGAGACTTTATCTGATTGCTTATAATTAGCACATGCAGTTACCTCGACAATTATAAGGTAGTAATTATTCCTGACCTGAGACTTCCCTATTGATTTAATTATGCCAATTAACATTTTAGGCGATTATCATTTGTTCTCTTTGCGTTTATCAAAAACGGTATTATCTCCAGAGAGTTAGCAAAACTGAACCACTCAGACTAAAAGTGTCGCTTTTTGGTGCCGGGTACAAATCTTTACAAAAAATCTTGGCAAAACTCCCACTGCACATTTGGGAAATCCGAGGTGAAAACCTATACTTACAAGTGCAATTTTCTCCCATTTCCACTATCACCTTGTTGGGCACCGACTAACTGGATCAGGGTTTTCCGATAGCGTGAAACAATGAACATTCTTATGTAAATCTGACTAGTGTCCGCAACTTAACGACCTCACAGGTGCCAAATTCAAGCTGCATTGACGTTTAGTTACCCATTTTTTAACGATTTTCGATACGCAAAGTGCGAAAAAAATGGGTAGATAAGATGTTGCTAGTTGCTAGGGTAGAAACGTGTGGGTTTGACGGGCGTTGCGTGCAAGTTTATAGTGGCTGGGATTAATTAGACTCAACAGACGGACGGCATAAACGCGCAATAAAACAATAACAATATAAGACGAGGCCACGGACAACGAGGTAAGTTTCGCGGAGTAACTAGGGAGGAACTTTTTGCTATCAAAATATGGAAGTTGATTACATGTAGTGACGTACCTATTTTTAGCTTATTTCTGAGTGCGGCTATTCCTTAATGTGGGTATTAAATCAAAGTTTACCTCTCAATCTTTGTACCATCAGCAATCCACACCACTTTCATATTGACATTAGGGACAAAGAGGTCCTTCAAATTCCAGCCATCTTGAATATTGTATATATTTATATTGTTGTAGTAATACACTTTTAGTTCTTGTAACGTTTACACACATTGCCGTCAATTACACACATTTACACACTTATCATTTTACAACACAATTACTAATAGCACGATTTGTTATTCCATATTTAAATTATTTACTTCATGATGATCGACACACGTCCAACTCCCACGATCTACGTCTTTGCCCTAGTTCGCCAACAATCCGATACGTGGCGCTATTTTGTGTATATGAATGAAAATAAATTTCAATAAAATCCCGCTAAAAGTTGCCACATTCAGTTATCCTACGCCGCTTCAATGGCTCATTACAAAAAATAGATGCATGAGCGTCGATTGCTGACGCAAATACCGCTCGTAGAAATGATAAAAAAGTTCCAGGACCTAAACCACATAAAAGGGCAATACCGACATGCGACACCCATTATTGTCCTACTTAACAATGTAATAATATCCGAATGTCGACTTTCACCGGCTCACGACTCGACTTATGCAACACATGATACACATGCGCTGGGAAATCCGTGACGGAATGACGTCATAGAAACAAACCTAATCCCCATTATATAACACTCTATTAGCAATTGACGCAAATTAACAAAAAAGGCAGTACATTTCCTACAAGGTTGTTGGGTCGGGCGTAATAAATTTACTCATTGTGATGGAATTAAAGCCGATTATATGTTTATCGTTACATTTTCAAAAGTTTAATAACTGCAATAATAGTTTTTCTTGTCGGCTATAGGTATAAATAAACCCATTTTCAATAGTAACTACATATTACCATTGAATAAGCAATCATAGGTACTTATTCAATGATATTACCGATATAGAGGTCATTATTCAAAGCTAATAGTTCATACTATAGGCAACACACAGTGCACCGCACAATAATGACTGGGGAAGTTTGAATAAATCTGAATATAAAATATCATTTCATTGAATAATTGTTTATTCATTTGAATATTCAAAGGATTATCTTCAAAGCTGTAGTTATTGTAGCATTGAATTTATAACTATCAATTCAATGATTGTAGTAGCGTTTATAAATAATGGCTGTAGTTCCATTGAACTGAAAACTATTCAAAGAACTAAGTGCAGGAAATTAGAATGCAGCAGATTTCTTTCACACAAGAAAAGTTGATGCGACGACATCTACTGCAAGCTCGCGAGGGTAATAATGTAGAATCCTGCATTTATGGACATTGGCAAACAGCGCAGTATTATTTACGACAGATGTCCTAACAATGCATTTAATTTTGCAGTGGGTATTGAAACTCCATTCAGTCCTACTTCTACATTTTTCATATAACAGCACCTACAAAATGGAGACACATATTGGAAATGTTTGAGGAAATTAAACAATTTATTATTACCTGCTACACTAGTCATTTTGCATATAACAATGCACAAAGAGTTATTTACAAAATAAACTGTTCAAACTAACATAGACCACGAACGACAAACAGAGATGGACGAACAGAAAGTCCAAATGACCAAGATTTAGTCAATTAGTCCCTGACCAATGACCATTATCACTGAAAACAGAATTTGAGAATTCGAAACCGTTTGTGTACAAAGACGTACGGACGGACGGACGAGTAGAGAACCTCTAAAATCATGAACGAGCTCTGGGCCGCTCAGTAATCAGGGCGATTAACAGACAATATTGGTTCCAATATTTCTGTATCAATATTGTACCTATACTTAAAAACTATGCTATTATGGAAATGGTCCATGGTCGTATGTATGTTACAACTAAACGTTCTAATCGCTCTATATGAGTACTCTCTTTTGACTATGACCTACTCAGTAGATATGTTTCGTGCTCGTCCATTTTACCTGGTTTTCCCATGAAAAGTAGAACAATTGTTTACCCCGTCCCCTCCTCCCCCATTTTCCCCAATTTTCAAAAATTGAGATGGCAGCATTAAAGGAATGCGTATGCAAAATCTGAGACAAATTTTGTTCCACATAAAAGTTACGTACTTATCATTCAACGCTTGTAGTAAAAAGCTGTATATTTGTGCCAGTCGGACATTCCTCTTCTCTGCCGATCTTGGTTCATTTTGTTTCAAAATCAATACAGATAAATTACCCTATGACGCTCGGTCACTAAGAATGCAATTTAACTATTATAATCCTTTGTTACGGGGGCGTTGAGCTAAATGTAGCCCGGGACCTGGGTAGAGGTAGGCTTAACTGTCAACTTATGACAATCAGATAGAAGGATAAGGGGATGAACTACCACCGGGAAGTAATCTTACAACTCGTAACGAAGAAAGACTTAACTGGTAGTCGTAGTCCGGATGGAAGGGTAGTAACGGACACAGGCTACTTGTCGAAAATCTCCTTTATTCTTGTAATGTGGCCATTTTAAACAATTTGTCTTTTAATAAAATATTGACAGCGCTGGCTACTAACAATTTGGAGATTAAATATTGTTTAAACAAAGACAATCCTCTAAGAGCAGTTCAAAACCGCAGTAGTGGGTTCGGACGAACGAACAGACGGACAAAATGCAAACATTTTTTAATTCTTAAAGACGCGAATAAAAGGGAGAGTATTTACTAAAAATATAGTGCGAATTAGTTTTGGGGAAGATTTTGGGATGCATTCGAGTTTTGACTGCCAGCGTCATCGATGTGTACTCTAAAAATTAGAGTTGTTAATTAATTCCCGTCTTGATCACAGTAAATCCAACAGTATTACGTAATTCCTGGTAAAATTTAGAAAAGATCTAGGTACGTTTTGGAATTCCGTTGTTATTAGTGCGGCACGCTTAATAACATTTGAACTAGATTTGATCAATTGTCGTCGCGGCCGGTATTGGTCTTTGAAACGTAAAATATAACAACGGGAGTTTTATTACTTATCATTACAAGACTAAAATCTGTGAAGTAAATAAATTCTAACGCATCAGTTTTATCCACGCAGAAAGAAACACATTCCAGGCAGCCAGGCGTGATGAAGAACAAACTAAAAAAAACGCGTCAGTATATCTGCGTTATAGCAAACTAACCATTTGTAAATCAATTCCTCAATAAAGTACGTCGACATTGTAAAGAAACAAGATACGAAAAATCGCATACGATTTTCAATAGAGGAATTTTTTGACGCTCAGCGAGGAACAGATGTACGGACAGAACCATCACATAAGAGGAATTTCTTTCGAAATATTCCCCCAAAAAGGGTTAAACTTTGTTGGAACTCGTAACCCTAAAATTAGTAAGTGTAAATGTGGGCCCAGTTGCAGTGCGGCAAATTTCTCCTTTGCCGAAACTAAATTAATCTAGCGAAACTCAGTACCTAATTTTAGAAGGTCGCTTGCTTGTACCATTGAATTGGACACCAGAGGAGTGAACCCTTCGTGAAAACTTCCTTTCGAGGACAGTCGTATCCGTGGTCATTAATAGAAAAAAATGTATCCGTTAGAGAGGTTTCTTGATACAACTTATACGTCATCGTCGATGTACGTATAGGGTGTTCCTACATCGTTATTGTATCCTCAGCATTCGTTACCTTGCGCGGTACTGTAATATTTACTGATCCATGTCAAATAAAGGGGTTGTATATCTTTAAGAGAAATCCATAAATTTGAGAGACTTAAAACACTTAATAAGGAGAATTTTGATTTGTAGTTTCTTTTATTATTATTTGTTCTCGGGGTGGTCCCATTCGGTTCCTGCACCGCGACCTTTTGGTCTATTGTGCTCCCCAGTATTCTCTACCCCTCAAGAATACCTGTATCTTTAATAAAGTCCAGGATTTTGGTAGGGTGAATCTTCGCTACCTCTTCTTGTGTAATCTTCTCGTTTCCAAGTAGGCGTTCTCTTGCCTTTGTGTATGCTTCACATAGGCAGATAACGTGGTGTGGTGTTTCACTTTCCTCACCACAGCCCCTGCATAGAGGGCTGTCAGTCAGTCCCATGTTGTGCAGGTGCTTGTTCAAACAACAATGGCCTGTGGCCATCTCTGTTGCAAGTTTGATCTTCATCCTACTTAACTTTAAGATGGATGATGCTAGCCCCTCGTTTGGGGTTTCCAGAAAGATCTTGGAGTGACTCTGTCCCGGAATTTCCGACCAATGTCTGCAATGCTCTTTTGTGAGTTTCGCTTGTATCTCCTTTTTGGCTGTGTTATATGTAATCCCACAGGCCGGTTCGGGTCCTACGAGTGGTATCGCGCTTGCCGCTCTCGCAAGTTCGTCAGCGACCTGGTTTCCTGCGATTCCCGCGTGCCCAGGTGCCCACACTAGCGTTACTGTATTAAGTCTGCCTAGTGCGTTTAGCACTTCAGTGCATTCAAGGACTAGTCCTGAATCTACTACATATGAGTTTAATGCTGCAATCGCTGCTTTGCTGTCTGTAACTATAAAGATTTTCTTTCTGTTAAAGTTCTCTTTTAATAGTCGAGAAGCTGCAGTCAAGATTGCATATACTTCAGCCTGAAGCACGGTTGCTTTTTGTCCTAGGCTTACAGAGATTCTGCAGCCCTGTCCATTGCTTCCGTACACTCCACAGCCAGTGCCCTCCTTAGTTTTCGAGCCATCTGTGTAATATACGATTCCATTCAGTTTTATCTTACTGGAATTGTCCTCCCAGTCGGATCGAGTGGGGATTGCCGTCTTAAACAGTTTTGTGAGACAAACTGTTTTGGTTATTCTCTCGGATATCATACCGAGGGTTTTATGCCTGGAGATTTCATCAAAGATGAGCGAGTGTCCCACCCTTGACGATCTCTCCTCGCCATTGACTCTCAGCCGGTATGCCCCTCTGAGCGCCTCCGCCCTAACTACTAGGTGTAGTGGCGGTAAGTTCGAGAGAGTCTCCATAGCTGCAGTAGTGGTCGTTCTCATTGCCCCCGTAATTCCAAGGCAAGCTCTGCGCTGCACCTTGGTAAGTGCCTGTATGTTCTTCTGGGTGAAGGTCTTATGCCACTACACCAGTGACGCATACGTAATGACTGGTTTAATCATTTTAGTGTATATCCAGTGGGTCATCTTTGGCGATAGGCCCCACTTGCTTCCGAACGCTCGCCTACAGGCCCACAGGGACTTTGTGGCTTTGTTCGCTATTTTCTCCAGATGTGATTTGAAGGTAAGCCCTTGGTCTAACGTGACGCCCAAGTATTTCCCTTCTCTCACTAACTGTAGCTTGGTGCCGTACATTGCTATATCCTTTAGCTTTGTCGGCCCTTTTCTACGTGAGAAGAGAATGAGGTTTGTTTTTGTTGGATTAACAGACAAGCCCTCTTCTCTACACCACTTTTCCACCAGAGTCAAAACTCCCTGCATCACTGCTGACACGGTCTCCTCAAATCTTCCGCGTACCACAATCACTATGTCATCAGCATATGCAACTGTAGTATATCCCGTCTCACTTAATCTCCTCAGAAGTCCGTCCACCACTAAACACCACAGCAGAGGAGAAAGAACTCCCCCCTGCGGGCATCCTCGAGCGGCCCGGACCACTACCGAGTCGTTGTTAAGCGAGGCTGTAATATTCCTATGTTTTAGCATGGTATGTATCCATCTACTAATGGTAGTGTGTACTCCCTTGCTTTCTATAGCCATGTTGATCGATTCTAGACTGGTGTTATCAAACGCCCCCTCTATGTCTAAAAACGCCCCTAGAGCCACCTCATTACTAGCTATCGCTCTTTCAGCTGCATCCACAACTCTGTGGATAGCCAGTTCACAGGATTTTCCTGGTTGATAGGCACATTGGTGTTTGCTAATGGGTTCGGACCCCAGTACCTCATCCCTTATGTGTCTATCAATAAGTTTCTCTAACAACTTTAGGAGAAATGACGTTAGACTGATGGGTCTAAACGACTTAGCCTGGGCGTAGGAGTCTCGCCCAGGTTTGGGTATGAATACGACTTTTACGTCCCTCCACGCCATAGGTATGTAACCTAGGGCAATACTTGCCCTTAGTAAAATACAAGTAGTTTCTTAAAAAGACTGTTGGAGGTTGAAACCGTTTCTGTATTGTATGTATTGAAGGAAAACCCCCACTCGAATTATTGGATTTGATACTGAGCCAAATTTAATTTTACATATAAAGTTAATTTGTTCCGATTTCAATAAAGAGAACTTTCAATTTAATGGACCTAATTATTGTTTAGGTGAAGAGTGTATATGTCGTGTAGTCTTTTAGTGAAATCCGTCATTTCACGAAAAGATTAGTAATTTTGTGAAATTTTGGGACAGTGTGCTTTCTGGAGTTAAGGGTTTGAGTTCCCCTTTCGCTACGAGATCGATCTGGAAGGAGATGGAAAACTACCACACACATCAAATTGTCAGCGTTTCACGAAATACATAGACTTTTCGTGAAATGACGGATTTCACTACGGCATATACAAATTTGTAATCACCGACATTCTTGTAGTTTTCATTGACATTCTCGTCTACTTGCTGGCTTTTTGTGTCTATTTTTCATTTACTTGGTGGGGTTCTCTGTCGGTTTCTACACCAAACCATTCACCTAGACCTTTAAATGTGTCAAAAATGTTAGTAACCGCGTATTCTTTGACAAAGGATTTATTTAATTGGCTAAGAAACGACGGTGATGGTAAACCAGAAGTAGTAAAAAATAACTCTTCTTAGAAGCGATCTAGTTTACCCTTCTCCTATGAACATTTACTTACCAATATTGAACGGTCTTTCCCATACAATTTAACCTAAGCTCTTAAATTTTCTAGATTAGCCTATGAACTTTTTCATAAGAATCTTTTCGGTTTTTGAATGTGGGGGAAGAACGCCAAAAGGGCACCCAATGAATTTCATAAATGAAACAGGATAAGTAACCATCTGCACTACGTGTGTGTTGCTTCCCACTTGCGCAAAATGACTATATGTCGATGAAACGCTGCCGTTTTTAAATGGAAATTTTTCTCATTAACTAAACATTCTCGCATATTTCGAATTCGACCTTGGGTAATATTAATTCAGAATTGATATGATCATGTGGTTACCATCTAATAAATTAATTAACCTGAAAATACTTCCTGTTTTCATGTGATTGTGAACTTACAATGCATTATATTATGTAATTTACGTATGCTTATTAATTTATTATACAATAGGTACAGCGTAAGAGAAAAAATTGTGAAAGAATAATTCAAAATTTGTTATTCGAATAAACCCTTGTAAAACTGTAACGGAATACGTAAAAGAAAGAAGCCACAACGAAAAAGCTTAAACTGGAGGAATAATAGTGGTACAGACGGATGAAATGCTGACAATAACTTTCATTACCTTTTGGAAAATGCGCTAAAAAATTAAATACGCATACATTTTTGATTATAGCTCTGATTTTATTACAAAAATACCCAAGGAAAAGGATGCTATTACGCCCTTTCTTGGTTATTTTATTTATGTACACTCTCCTCTTCCAGGCAGGTAATTATTTTCGTAATAACAAAGATTTTATGTTTACAAGTGTCCACTGAAGCCATGCCCTGTTTTTTTTTTGTTAAAGCTACAGAGTCTAGCATGGATATCTAAATTTGAAAGAAAAAAATTGGAGGATTGGCACTTTGGCAGTGTCTTTTTGAAATCAAAAACCTCGACTTCATGCAAAAATTATGAAAGCATGTTCAATAGAGATCCAAGATCGTAAAATAGCACATACAATCCAGTTTTGGGGGCTTATCTTCAAAAAGTAAACCGGGTTTGTAAAGGAGCACGTCCTATGTCTCGAAAACATATTAAAAATGGGATTATTACAGTAATTGCATTCTTATACATATCAATCCCGTGATAAATGCGGACAGTGAAAATAAAATGTGAATGTCGCGTTGGGGAGGGGGCGGCGATATTTTGATAATATTAAAGAATTCTGCACTGAAAATATCTTGGCAATAACTTGCACATTCTTGCATCCGATAAGAAGCACATAATAATAAATCGATCACTACGTCATGACGGAATTTTAATCGGAAATGCGGTTTTCAAATCACATTCAATCAGAGTTCCGTGGATAGAAGGTCCCCTACTCGTGCAGTAGGTACATTAAAAAAACTGTATCACTGTGCCGACATTCCACAATTTTATTATTGATTGTTATTTCTCGTTAAAAACTCTTATCAATTTTCTGGATATTAATAATATTAATAAAATCGTGTTAATTGTTCGACACATCGTCGTTTGCGTAGTTGCCATGTAATGGGGTTTATTATATCGAGGCATTGTTAAAAGTAGTGTAACGTGATTATTAAATTATTGAACACATAATTAAAAATTAATGTTTATCAACAAATTTTAATTGCAAAATGCAATCAAAACTACGTTTTTGTTGGATACGTAAGCAATTTCAATTGGTAACCTTCGCAGGAGCGTATTGTTGTTAAATGAAAAGTTTCCTGTTGAAGTTTTTTAAATAAATCTAACAGTATACTTGGCAACCGGAGGACTCTATAATTTTTGGGTAGTTTATTACTAGTGCAGACAGGCAAGTCGATTTAAACTTAAGGGTGCAGTGTCTGTGTCAGTATCTTCGTGACTGGACTTGGTTCTTAGTGCTGCTGGTGAGCAAGAAGATGTTTGTATTACTTATAATATCTGTTTTGGGGAGAGGTGAGTAAAAATACACGCATCAGTTCTTTTTTAGAATTAGTATAAGTAGACCTAGGCGAAACAATCTTTGAATTAAAGTGCTTCTGTATTTTTGGGTTTAGCGGTGAGTGTCAATTACGAAATTAAGTAATACATTCTTATTTGAATTTTTGAGGTTTTTAATTTTTAGTGATATCTATTTGCAACAAAAAGTTGATGATTTACGTTTTTAATAAGTAAATTAATGTCATTCAATGGCTTTTATTGAGGATGTACGATACCAAAGTCTCCACCTTTTCTTAAGAGCTTAAAGTCATAAAAGTGAAGAAGGTCCTTTCATAAACAGGATTTATTACTGAATTTGTACAACATCTGGTAGCATTGTTAACTTCTTAAAGAATATTGTTACAGTGTGACTAGCTGTAAATGGTTTCCATTTTTACTATCTCGTTTTGTATCTCATGGGTAAACGAACGAGATTGACGTTTTAAAAGGGGGCAATTGCCAAAAACATTTGGACTGATTTGAAAACTGATTATTAGAGAAAAATTTAGAACATGCTGAATACTTTTTTCTTGTCACTAATTTGATTAGGCGTCCAGGTATAGTGACTATACCTTTCAATTCTAAAGCGCAAGTTTGTGCGGTAGGTACGGATATTACGAAAACAGCAAAATGTTACATAAAGGATTGATTTTAGTGGTAATAATGTAACTAATTGGCTAGTATTCAACATGGTATGACCGAAACAAATTAGATTCGAATAAGGTAAGTAAATTATATTTTAGATCCGTTGTACTTTAACCAACTATTTTGTCATCAACATATTTTGAAGGTACTTTGTAATAATCAACAAATTAATTAGATAAAGTAGAATGAGGGGAACTAACAAATTATCACGATATGGCAATATTGCGGGATCGAGCTGTCCTGGAAGTGTGTGGACTTTTTCTTTGGGGACCAATATGCCATGTCCCAATTTTTCAGTAGGGCTAGGAATATTCCTACAATCAAACTAATAGAACGAAAAGACACTAGAAATCATATTGTTTGAAAAATGCTCTTTGACTATTAGTTAAATCTCTAAATACAAACAGGTTAACCTTTGCTACAAAATTACAAAATATAGGGAATGAAATATGAAATAATTAGACAGCGATGAAATAACACTTCTTCACTTCACTTTTATTTAGTTTTTTTTGTGGTAGTGTTTTGACTATTTTTGATAAGAGTGACTGCACTGCAGAAAACTCCTCCTCAACACATTTTCATGTACATAACTTTTTATTGATTGACCCTTGTTGACCGGCTTATATGTATAATGAAATAGATAAATTCCGCTGGTGGTTCAGACCCCCAAATGTCTTAATCCGCCATTCCCCCCCTAGGCCCTTCGATAATAAATGGAACAATTTTCAGCGTACTCACGTTCGTAGAAAGATAATAGCATAACAATTTGCGACACTCCGCTCTAGAGATATGAGGAATTATTACCAATCACGATAAAAGGTCGAGGAGCAGGGCTGTGGTTGGTGGTACAAAACAGTTCCTTTCGCCGAGACCATTATTTAATATACCATGACAGATCAATATAAGTTAATTAAAAAAATTCTTTACACTAAGATTCTACTGACACTTTTCTTCAAGGTTCACCCTGTGCCGAGCTTTTACCGTGTGGGTGGATGCCGGCGTTTCTCGTGGGTCCAAAATGTTTCGTTGAAATGGGGATGAATAGATGAACTATAAAGGTTTTTTTCTGGAAGTCAATACCTTTCAAACTGTTGAGGAGTGAAATTGTCAATTTTTCAACCAAAAAACGACGTTCTTAAACGAATTTTCGCGAATAACACAAAGTATTTTACTGAAAATATCATTCTTAGTATATAGGGTGATCCTAAATATGATGTCCATACGGAAGAGGATAATTCTTTGGCTTATTTTATGTCTAAAAGGCCATATAAACGTAGGTCCATCAAACGCTTCGTTACTGGTCTACAGGGTGTTATAATTTCACCCTACACTTTAAATTTAAACGTTTAATTTTAACATAATGTGCAAACACAAGATACAGTCCCATCATGAGAACTGCCAAAAATAATAAAAACAAGAGATTATCCAATAAAACCAGGGCCAACAGGGTCATATTAAACTGAATTAACAAAATTGATTTTTTATCTGACCGTTTACCAGCGGCAGACCAAAAAAGTTTAGGGGTTTTGAAAATGGAATATAACCTCTGAAATCACTCTGCAGATTCTTAGTACCATTAACAATGACCAATGATGTAAGCCCTTTAACGTAATTTATCTTCCAAATTTGACATAAATATCTCAAAAACCGGAAGATATAAAAAAAACTTTAAAAGTGTAAAATTATAACACCCTGTAGATCGGTAACTAAGCGTTTACGGACGTATGTTTATGTGAACTTTTAGTCATACAATAAGCCAAACAATTAGCCCCATCTGTATGTACAACATTTCTTTTTAATTAACAATTGAAATCCTCAATTGTTTTGTGGCCGGATGTATAGGGGTGCATTCTCCATGACCGGATTTAACTTGAGGTGAATTTACGCCTACTACGCAATACGCAGAGCACAGTGTCAATGCAATCCTTTGGGTTCCAACTTTCCTGATCGTGAATTTTCATTTGGGCGAATTCCTGGAGATAATGTAGTAAAGTGTAGTAAGTGTAGACCGGAATACTCCCTATTCCGGTCTACACTTTACTACACTTTGATCTTAGCCATAGGCCAAGGTGGGTGCGAATTTTCTAAGGGCAAATATTTCGATGGCAAATCTTTGCGCTAAGAAATTTCCGGTGGCAGCGAATTCTTAGGGCCGGAACTTTTCAGGGCGAATTTTCCATGGGATGAATATTCCGAATTTTCCGTGGCGAATCTTTCTAGAACCACATTTATAGTGATCATATCCATCCATTGTGAATTAGGGAGAAAATTGAAATTGCAGACGCCGGCCAACCAACCAACCAAGTTTTGTATTGTTATAGTTAACTTTATTACACTTTCAAATCAATTCTTGGATCCCTTTGATGTTATCATTTCGATTGTATGTCGATCTTCAATTTACGTTTGCTAAATTGACGCCAATGGGAACAGCAAAATATTTTTTCTTTGAATACAACATGATCACAGGGTATTATGTAAATTAAGTGAAACATCCTGTGTTTACTCATTAAAAATGAAGAATGCAAGTACGACTACCTAATTAAGCAAGTAAAATCTTGTATTGCAAATCTTCAAATTGTGAAAGATGTATAATTGTAACTTTTTGGTAATAGAACTATACAAACAATGGTGCGATAATTCGGATTTTAAACTATTTAAATTTCAGTTAAGATACTTAGGTCTCAAGACAACATCACAATATCATGATAAAGTGTATAGTTCTAGTTCTAAATGTGATTGATTTTGTCAGTAAGTACAAGTTTAGCTTAGCCTTCATGCAGTTAGCGAATTTAAAATTTGTCACACGTAGAAATTTAACAATGTTAATTATAATGATCGTAGTAATTTTTTTGTACAGTTTTATCAAAGTTTGATCCAAATCGCATGCTAATTCCATTAAATGTGGTCGGTTTGTAGGTGGCAAGATAATCTGATGCAATGAGTATATGGTAATAAAATATTTTGGTTGTACGTAATCGTCACAAAATTTTTAATGAGTGCGATCAAAGACCCCAATCGCATTTCCTAATGGAACGGATTAGATTAGTAGGTGGTATTAAACGAGCGGAAAATAAAAACAGTTTTTTAGTTTAAAAAGTAATTTAGACAGTAGGGAATACTCAATTGTAATTAAACATTTCTCTGAAATTTGCAAGGAAATTATTTATGTTGTAATCTGCTAAGGAGTTTAGTACGGCAGTAAAAATGGTTCTCACTCCTCTAAATCCGTATTTATGGTCCAACTTCGATATAAAAAAGTAATCGAATTGTTTTTTAATTGCAGATGTATCGCAAATTTTATTTATTTTTAGGTACTAAACTACCAAGTTCTTTTATTTTTTAATTTGATTTAATTAATTAAATCCAATAAAAGAATAATCGCGATCAATGAAACCCGAAGAACTTTTTTTTCCAGTAGGCAGCAAATTCCGCAATGAAATAAAAAATTTAATGATGCCATTTCGAAAATGTAATGATCAAAACATTCTCTGATCACCAACACATAATGTTGAAGTCAGTAAAGTAATCCAGCTAAATAAATTCTAGTGTTCATTCCTTAATTTGTTAATTTGATTATTAATTTTAATGTATATTGTCCCTGTCCCTACCTCGATTCTGATGTACCTACCTACTAAATTGACATCTCTATTTGTTATTAACCGAATTGCATGAAATACAATATGGGCATAGCTCTAACCATTATAATACGCAATTCCAAAAGATGAGTCTAATCGATTCAACATTCAGAGTGCACTTTTCGCATCTCGACCATTTATATAGACTGAATTGTAAACTTTTTTATTTATAAAGGTATTTGAATGAAATTTGATACATATGCATTTGGAATTAAAGGAAATGTAACGCCAGTTTCAAAATTTTGGTTGCATGCGCACTGCCAACTTTATTATTTATGCAGGCGTTTCCTATATTTGTTTACCTACACTTTTATTATTAAGAAAAAAAAATATAAATTAATATTTGTCTTTTTGCAGTGTTAGCCGATCCCAATGTGGACATCACAACAGAAACGGTCGCATCTCAAATCGACTCAACCGTTTCATCGGGCTTTTCCAACTTTACTGAGGGAATAACATCTACAAATGATGGACAGACACAACGGAGTGGCCTGGACGGCAACTTATCGCTCGCGAATACATCCCAGGATAGCGTGGAATACCCAAACGATAATCCTTTCGGCAAGAACGAAACAACTGAACAAAATACACCCGAAGTGTATCAAAACGATGAAAAAGCAGAACTCAACAATGACGATGAGCTTCATAAATCAACTGATGGTACCACCACAACAGAAGAGGAAGGTGAACACATAGACTGGCTCGATAACGGAAACGACGAATTTACGACTGATTCTGAACTACCAGGTGAAAATTTCAATGATACAGTAGATGGCACATTCAATGGCTCGGATAATGAAACCGCTGAAGGCGTTTTCGACAATAGTGATAATACAGACGGTCCATTTGATGGCATAGACGAGAGTTTATTCAATACCTCAAACAACGAGACAGCAGACGACATATTCAACAATTCACATACTGCGACAGCTGAAGATGTATTTAATAAGCTGAATCATGACATCTTCAACGACACCTTTAACATTCCAACTAACGAAACTTCTTCACCGTCAAGCACAAATCTATCAGGAATTTTGCAAGCGTGGCTCTCCGAACGGGCGAATGTAACGAGCGAACCGTATCCAATGCCTGTCACCAAACCGTACTTGGGACCCATCGGAGACGGGTCCTTATTTTTAGGTGCGCTGACCAACGGCCAAGGAGACGTATGCATCTCGCTCAACATCTCCATGCAACCCGTCTTGAACGTAAGTTCGATGTTTCGGTCGACATTAATTAACCACGAATCTTAGGGCACACCTCTTCAACTTTCGCACTCCCATGGAAGTACAGAGAGTTACGCAATGAATAACGGAAGCATTGCGTTCCACGCAACCGATAACGATAAAGCCTACAATGTCACAACCGAATTTCTTATCCATTGTTACGAAAAATCGTGCGGCGTTGAGTTGGTCAGTGTTGACGTACGCAATTCCACAAACCGACAAGGTAATCTCGGACTCCCAAACTCCAAACCTTATCGGTTTTAATTTCAGCTGTGGTCCTTCACACCGATCTGTCCATCAGCGTAAACTTGGGAACCACCTTCGAAGATATCAGTAAAAGAACGCTAAACGTGACGGATGAGATCCAATTAGAAATTAGTTACATTTCGGTTTTCGTTTCTGAAAATTGCGGTAAACTTTTAACCGCAGGTTTGTGCAAACTAAAAAATGACTTGCATTGAAATTTTTATATTTTAGGAAACTTTTTTGTACGCCATTACGTGGAGATCACATGTGGAGTGGGAGTTTTAGTAATAGCCGCGTGCCTCACCTTCTTTATTCTTAGGAAAATTCAAAGAAGAAAGAAGAATAGTTTTGATACTATGATGTAGTTAAATTTAATGAAGGTTATTTATTCATTTTTGTATAGTTTTATGAGAACTTTTCAAAATAATTCCGTTTTACTTGTCTTTTTGCTTCTCCAAAAGGACGGAATTTTTTTAAATAAATTACCAGTAGGAAGAAATGGCGGTTAGTATTGGTATGTGCACATAACGTATCCGAAATGACGTATTCTAGGTAAAATACGCATCCCCTAAATATTAATTTCCGAAAAACTAACAAAAAAACATAAAAAGGCGTTCGATTTCTAAAATTAAACCCTCCTTGCACTAATTGCACAGGGTCTCACTTTATCTTATTCTTTGATTCCACTAGCAAGCATACAAATCTACCTTCTGGTTCAGATGTTTTGTTTGTAGGGTTCGTTCCATTATCCTTCAGGTTCTTCTCGCCTTCTCCTTGTCTTTTGCGAACACTAGTTTTTTTCGGATCTAGCGAATCCCTCAGATGTTGCCTCCTCTCCTCTCTTAGTTGCAATATTACACTACATCGGGTTTAGCCAAAAGGATCGGCTGCTTCTAGAATCATTTACATCAGATAGAAGTCAAAGGGTATTTATAGACGGAAAAACATCACAATCCCTGGCACTTACTAGAGGAGTTCCACAAGGATCTATATTAGGGCCGCTGCTTTACACAGTTTATACCTCCCAGTTTCATAAGGTAATTCGTTTTTGCAAAAGTCACTTTTTTGCTGACGACACGCAACTACTGACTTCTTTTTCTCCTAATCAAATGGCAGATGTGAACACATTCATTAATGAAGATCTGGAAAGTTTGCTTTCAACATCAAATGATCACGGCCTACAAATAAACCCGAAAAAATCAATGGCCATAGTATTTGGTTCCGAGCGCAATAGGACTAACGCTATGAATAATTTGCAGTTAATATTGGGTGGGGCTAGGTTAACTTTTACAGATAAAGTAAACAGTTTGGGTATCATTATAGATCACAAACTTAGATTCACGAGTTACGTAACCCATATGCTGCAAAAGAGTTACAGTGCTCTCAAGCTAATTTACTGACATCGTCACATTCTTGGACAAAACCTCAAGAAAATTTTATGTGAGTCACTAGTACTATCGCATCTTAATTACGGTGATGTATTATATGCTCCTTGCTTAACCGTGTTTGACATTAAAAGACTGCAGAAGGTTCAAAACTCCTGCTTACGTTTGATGTTTGGTGTGCGACGAGGAAGGCATATATCCCATAAACGAATAATAGTTCAATGGTTGACAATGTTTGACAGAAGAGTTCTACATATGACATGCTTTTATTATAAAATCTTAAAGTATAAAACTCCTCCTTACCTTGCCAACAAAGTAACATTTAGAACCGATATCCATAATATAAATATTCGAAGGAAAGATCTTATTACAATTCCCCGCCACTACAAGTCAATTTTCAAACGATCGTTCTCCTACAACATTGCGAAATGGGTAAATCATTTTCGGATCAATGATCTCACTATGTCATGTCATACGTTAAAATCAAAAATTAGAGAAAGGCTATTGATCGACGATTAGTATGTGTAACAATTGACAGTCAGCATATAACATATCAAACCCAAAAGTATTTCTAACGCTTCCGTGATACATACATAGTATCTGTACTTTTGTAAACGCCCTATTTTGCTTGGTAAATAATAAGAAAATCTCTCTATTTTAAAATCACAACTCTACTGCAATATTTTACAATTAGGTTCATGCGGAAGAACAGTATTCTGGCTTTGAGTCAGTTGTCTGAGCTTGAATCCTTATTTCATTAAGTGTACAATACAAATGTTTTGTTTTCTTTTTTTTTGTAAATTATTGGAAAAACCTAATGAAATAAAAATTATTATTATTATTATTATTATTTTAGTTTTCCAATGCTAAGCGAAAACGAGCATTAAAACTGCAGGGCCGTGCAGTTTATTTCATTATCACAGAACGATTGACCCGAAATTCCACATAACAATTAGTATTACTAGGTTACCAAATTTGGAAGTTTTAATCCGATCAATTGAGTGAATATAATTAAAAGTAGTTAGTTAATTGCGTTGCAGGAAACTGAGTTAGATTATGGCAAGTGTCATTAGAGCGCGCTTAACTAAAATAGATTTTAAGGCTAGTCCGAGATTTTCAGGATAACGGGGTACCGAGTAATTAATTCAAGAAGTTTTAATTTTTGGGCCCCAGTACGTCGACCGGCTGGAAAATCCGAGTTTCATTTCCACATTTTTGGGAATTCTATATAAGGGAATAGCGCAATTTAGGGGGATATTTTTTTCCTGTCATTTTGGATTTTTAACGTACCCATTAATTTCAAGCCAACTTTGTGAAAGTTTGCTTGGGAGTACGGTAGGATTTAGGATCCTAACGCTACATTTAGTCCTTCGAGCCGGATGCAGGAAAATTTCTTGCTCGCAGTATCCACGTATTTTTGCTGCACCAGTCGGTATGTGACTTGGATTCCCGCTATGAAAGGATCTGGCTCTTACTAGTTCCATTACATCCAGGAAGGGACTGAGTGTATTGAGGGTTCCCTTGGTCACCAGTAGTACTCTACCGAGCTCTACTCGTGGAAGGGTCTTCTTCCACTTCATCCGGACTTTAGATTTTGCCGATAACTTTGAGGTTATTTGCCCATTTCCACACAACCTCTGCTTGTAATTTTGAACCAGCTTTCTTGCTCGCACTATCCTGTCGTTAATCTGCCCCCTACTCTTAGTAGTCCGATTGCACCCAAGAAAGGACTGACTGTCTTGATGTTGAGTGTTTCTTTGGTTCCTGTTAGCAGGTTGTCCGCCAGCGCTGCTCCACCGAGCTCCGCGGTTTGGTCTTCTTCAACTACACCGGGACCATTTTAGAATTGGCTGTTAAAATGGCGGTTTTTATTTGCCCATTTATACTCAAAATCTCTTGTGGTTTTGGGCTTGTTGGTTTTATCTCGTTCTGGGCCTCCTCTGAACTGCAGGTGACCGAAACATCAAATACCACATGTAATGTTGTGGTGGAGCTTTCCTCTTTGAACACTGTATGGTGGGAAATGCCGTATTTTGCAAGGGGCTGCATGTTGAACTTCCTCAATTTCCCAGAAGTTTGTCAAGGCGACCTAGTCCATACTCGACAAGGGGCGTTGAATGGGCAGTGCTTCTTCCCTGGGGACCTTTGTTTGCCCTGTACCCATCCAGCTCACTCTTGGTTTCTTCTTTGACTCGTAGATATACGAACGTACATCGAAACAGCGATTTTCCTCTCGTGACTCTTTCTCACAGACCGCTCTTTTGAAGTTTTGTAATGGACCTCAAAAATCTCAGATAATTCGTTGCTTACCATATAAATTCGAACATTTGTTGGATTGACAGGGAAGGGATTTCTGGGAAACCTCATTCTCCAGGTACTCCAGGCGAATGGGCGTGCATTTGTTCCCATCGTTGTCCCATTGGACATAATTGCTCCTTGGCTTGCTTCCATTTGGGATGTTGTCTCGTTAGGACTTACCGGAGCTGCCGTTGGCAGGTTGAAATGTGGGCGCTTGTAGACTTTCTTGGCGTAGTATCATGCCCTAGCTCTTGTTGCAGGTCCATGGTCTGTGACTGGCGTTGAGAGCTCGAACCGCTTCGTGGTCAGCCTTTCCATATCCATATTTGTTACTTTGGGAACTCCCTCCAAAATGTAATGTAGCACTTCCTTGGACCGGAACCCTTGTGCTAACGCGGCACCAATTCGTTTAAGCCTCGAAGCACCAATTGTAGCATTAGGGTTTTAAGACCTAATGTACACTATCCGGCTCGAAGGAACAAGATTTCCATCACATTTACACAAGATCGACGCAATCGACATATGTTCATCTGGATTGGTGATTTGAATCATTTATTGTTTGGTTGGCTAAAAATTTCCTAAAGCGTAAAATGGAACTGTAAAGTATAAGTCGATGCAACTGTAATTGGATTTGTTTATCTGGTTCTCCCTTTTGGTATTCTTTTGATAGGATCTCGTATGTTTTTCTATTCGCGTGGTGCCCTCTTGTGGTCTAAATGTCTTGCATTGAAGTCGCCATTGATCGGCCGTTTGGCGTGATTAGTAACCTACCTATCCTATCCTATCCTATCTCTTTTCCTTTAAAGTTGTTATTTTTACTGTGGCTAAATGGACTTTGATCCCAAAAGGCTTAAAACATTCTCGAGTTTAAATGTTAAATTTGAAATGGCAAATCTTAAGTGATCAAAGCTTCAAATTCGAAAGTTTTGTTTATTTCCAACATTCCCAAAATATGCTACACAGTCCTCAAACATGTCCAACATTGGCTGGATATTAATTAATTATTTTTTTTAATTCAGTTCAATTCAGTATGATCTTTGGATTGGTTCATTTGACTACTATAGTGTAGCGAAAAACATCGGGGCGCCAGCAGGTGCCATGAAGTCGATAACAGATTAGTCACTGCGTTTTTTACTAGAGACTTTTTGTTTGCTATATAAGCAGATTGAAACGTGTTTAAGTTCAGTTCCAGAATTGATGCCGAAGTTATTATTTGTGAAGTTCGCTTTCGTATGTGAAAATGTGTAGTAGTGAGTGACAAATAATTATTAACTGTTAAAAAACAATCAATTTAAGGGCTGCTAATGCTGCTATAAATCAATTACTTATTATTTGTAAATAAATAAATGGCGTAATTAAATTTTCGTTACAATAGTATGGACTAATCAATTTCCATCAGTTTGACAGATTAATCGATTTCGAATTTTCCTTAACGGACTGGTCGAATTTTCCACTAATCGAAAAATACGCTTCATAAATCATATATCACTGTTGTTAGGTAACAATTTTCATTGGCATAAACTGTATCCAATTGGCCGGTAATGATTGTAAATATTGCAAAATGACATAGTAAACTACCGGAAAAGATGGATTTCTAAAAGTAGAATAACTCACCAGGAGGCTCGACGATGCCAACGACCTCTACTAGTACACAAAATGTCTGTACGTAATTGGCGAGGCTAATTGTGTTAATCCCGAATTGCTTTATCATCTTTCATAATAGGCAAATCAATGCGACGTTGGAAGATGTGGGGAAATCGAAAACAAAAGCGTGCGGGAAAATTAGACGCGTCTATTTGGCGTGATTAAAACTAATAGCACTCGCGGCAGAACATTTTCAAAAGCTCCCTTTTATCAGTGCACTTATATTTCCGTTATTATTAAAATGTAGTGGGTAAAAATGTTGTATATCTTTAGAAATTCTGTTGATTCGCAGACTAAGCTTTCACGTACGTTTTGTACCCATATGGCTCGTTAGATTCGCACGTGTTTTGTTTGCTTTCGAAATGCAGGCGATTATGTGGATTTCCACAAAAATTAAAAAGCTGCAGTGGATTCTTTTTACTGGTTTTCAAACACCGGCAATGTTTGTCTACGGGGAAAATGCACCTGCTCACTAATACCTACAAGAAATTATGCGAAATGTGATGGAAATGTCGGTGCAGTTTTTCCCACCAACAATCATGACATCGCGTATGCTGAATTTTTTCTTTCTTGTTATTTGTCAATAGGAGAAAATAAGTCGCTGGCATCGGTCAATCATTAAGAGCAAGAGAAATTGCCTGCCGGTGCCTACCTTGCCAATGGCGCAGCCAGTGGTCATTTAATTGATACCCTAGTCAGTACAAAAAAAAACTTCCGCTGCAGTCATCCGAATCCTCACTCCTTTGAGATCAAAAGTCACTGGACTTACCTTTGGACTTGCTTTCCGGGTTA